TTTTTTTTTTTTTTTTTTTTTTTTTTTTTTTTTTTTTTTTTTGAGGTACTGGAGTTTGAACCTAAGACTTTACATATGCTCACTGAGCTGTGCTCTGAAACAGTTATTTTCAGAGTCAAATTGCCACATGGTTATTCCAAAGGTATAGGCATCTGCATTTGCTTATTAAAGTGCTGGGGCTGGAGAGATGGCTCAGCAGTTAAGAGCACTTCTTGCTCTTCCAGAGGTCCTGAGTTCAATTCCCAGCACCCACATGGCAGCTCACAACTGTCTGTAACTTCAAGATCTGGCACCCTCACACAGATACATGCAGCAACCACATGGTGGATCACAACCGTCTATAATGAAATTTGTTGTCCTCTTTTGCCCTGCAGACAGAACACTGTATATATAATAAATAAATAAATCTTAAAAAAAAGACTGAAGCACTAAAAGGATGGTTTCGTTGTTCTCAAGGCTGTCTCTTTAAAGTGTTTCTTTGTTTTGAATTAAAACTAATTCTTGAATCTCTGACTTTTGGGAGTATGCATGGATGTGTTCACATGTGAATGAGTCCATTTGTGCCTGGAGGCCTCAGTTTGATACTGGGTGCCTTATTCAGGGCAGGGTCACAGTTGAACCTAGTACTCACTTACTGAACTAATTCAGCTAGCCAGATTGCTTTAGAAATCCCCTGTCTTTGCCTCTTTTGTTCTGGAGTTACAGGCAGACTGTGGTGCCTGTTTGGTGTTCACAAGGGTGCTCAGATCTGAACTTGAGTAGTATCTTTGTTAGGGTTCCAATTGCTGTCAAGAGACAGCACGACTACAGCAGTTCTTATAAAGAGAAACATTTAATTAGGGCTGGCTTACAGTTCAGAGGTTTAGTCCATTGTCATGGATGGAAGCATGGTGACATGCAGGCAGACATGGTACTAGAGGGATAGCTGGGAGTTCTACGTCTGGATCAATAGGCAGCAGGAAGAGAGTGACAGTGGCCTGGCTTGAGCTTCTAAAACTTCAAAGCCCACCCCCAGTGACACACTTCTTCCAGCAAGGCTAGACCTCCTAATAGTGCCATGCCCTCTTCTCCTATGGGGCTATTTTTATCCAAACCACCCTAAGTTCAAGCCCTTTAACCATTGAGTCATCTCCCAACCCTTGACTTTCTCCACCTTTTATACATGCAGAACAGTTAACAATCACCACAGTAATTGAGCTTTATATATATATATATATATATATATATATATATATATATTGAGGTACAGATTTGTATTTATTTTTGATTTCTTGTTTTCTTTCAGCAATATGTTATGTTACATGACATGGTGGCAACTCATAGTACTGTGAGAGTTTCAGTTTGTAGAGTAAATCAAGGTAAGTTCTTCAGTCGAAAAAGTAAGTGAACACAAAATGGCCAATTAAATGCTCATGTGTAAAGTAAGATCATTATGTGTATATATGCATCTTAATTTTTTAATTGGATTTATTTATTTAATTGTGTGAATGCATAAAGTGTATATATGGAGATTAGAAGACAACTCACAGGAATTACTTGTCTTTCTGCCACATGGTTCCTGGCATTGTGCTAAGGTCATTAGGCTTGGTGGCGACCACCTTTACTCTGTGCCACCTCACCAGCCCTGTCATCATCAGTATTTCTTCTTCTTTCTCCTCCTCCCTTCTTCTTCAGATTTAGAAATATACATCTAGATCCTCAATTTGTGGCCAATTCATTGTTTTATATAACATTTTATCATTTCTACAGTGTAGAGGCACTCTGGTAAAAGCAGAGTGTGGGGAGTGCTCTGAGAGCAAGGTGAGCACTTACTTTGTCTGGAATATTTACCAGTACTTTTTTTTGAAGTCTAAGCAGCCATTATTTCATTTAGTCAAATTAAAGGAAAGGTGAGAAGTTTTAAGATGATGATGAAGAGGAGAGGCTATTAAGTACCCAGAGGGCAGAAATTAGAGACTGCTTTTCATGAAAGCTGGAATAAGGCATGTGCAGCAAGTAGATGAGACACTCAGAGTGCCTACAAATCAATGGAGAGCCACCAAAGAGCTTCCAGCAGACTCTCCTGTTTGTTCTTCGCAAATAAAAAAACAAAACAAAACAAACAAACAAAACACAGTAATTCTGGCTTCCAAAGGCATGACCTGGATCAAGAACAGGGTTGTAGAGATAGCAAAATGTGGTCATTGGACAAGATTTGGTGAAAATTGAAAGTGAAGTATCAAGAAGTCTATGCAGCTGGGTAGATGGATGTCGGTGTTGTTAAATGGCATATGATAAAAGGGAAACAATGATTGTAGAAGGAGAATGCTTGGAACATACAGACTATCTGAGATGTTGAAATGAAGGACAGCATAGTATCTGGTCTTTGGAGGCAGTAGCCACTCTCCAGAATACAAAATCAGTCTGCATTTTTATTTATTTTCCATATTTCTTTCCTTTTACCTCAGTCCTACCCCAACCAACAGCCCACATCCCTCCCTTCCTCCCCCCCCCCCCCCCACTACTTTTGAGATAGGATTGATAAGTTGCCAAGTGTGGCCTCTGAAGTTGCTGGGATTATAAGTATGAACAAGGGGCTGGAGAGATAGCTCAGTGGTTAAGAGCACTGACTGCTACTGCTCTTCCGGTCAGATCACCAACACACATAAAAAATATATAGATATTCTCCCAGGCTCTTTTTTTTTTTTTTTTTTTTGGGTGCTGTACCCAAGTGATTGCTTCCTTCCTAGCCATTTTCTTTCACTGGAATCTCTCACACTTGGTGCCATCTTACTTATTTTTGGTAGGGTTATTTGTTGTTTGTTTCATTTTGAAGTGTGTGTACGTGTGTACAGGCTGGCCTAGGCCTTGTTATATAGCTGAGAATGAATCTCTGATCTTGCTGCCACAAGCTCTGGTATTACCAGAGCCCAGTAGTTTTTGGTGTTTTTATCAGGCAAGGGGCACCTGTATGCGTTAAGACCTGAGAAGGGCCTTGCCAGGCTGGCCTCAAATTCATGATCTTGCTTTTCAGCCTTTTAAATGCTGGGGTTTTAATTCCTGATTTAAATTTTCAAGGAAATAACGAATTAAGCATTCAGCTTGCTGTTTTTTAATAATTTGAAGACTAAAACATAAAATAATTAGAAGGGTTGCGATAAATAGTTGCGATGAAAAAAAAGAATACTTTTGAAAAGAAAAATCTGGTAAATATTTCATGATTTCTTTAGTTTCTGTAGAATTGGAGAAATCTGAATTTATTTTGCCAATTTCAGCAGAATTTCCTGTGGACTTATGAGTGTATTTAAAGGTGGCTGATAGTCAAAATTGATGATTGACAGGATTATAGGGGTGTGATGAGGACTTGCTACCACCTGTGCTTGATCAGCATACTGTCAGGAGACCAGCCAGCTGCTATATCTCAATGCCTGGTAGGCCAGAAGAGAGTGTCAGATCCCCTGGAACTGGAGTTACAGATAGTTGTGTTACTTCCATGTGGTTGCTGGGACTTGAACTCAGGATTCCTGGAAAAACAGCCAGTGCTCTTAAATGCTGAGCCATCTCTCTAGCCTTGATGCTTTGTTAATGTATAGTTCTGTTTCTGGAGACTTTCTATGATTCAATTTTAATATTAACCCCACTATATCAGTTTCTTACTGAGAGCAAGAGAGTTTTACATAGGTAATTTGTTTATTTGTTGTTTTTATTCCAAGTTAAAGAACAATTTCTTCTAACTTTTTTTTTCCCCAATTCAGAAATAGAAGAGATCTTTTCTACAGACCTTGTGCCAGGAGATGTCATGATCATTCCATTAAATGGGACAGTCATGCCTTGTGATGCAGTACTTATTAATGGTACTTGCATTGTAAACGAAAGCATGTTAACAGGTACGTGAAATCAGCTTTATCATGCTTCTTGTTTATGCTGGTGTTACTATGAAGTAATTTAAACTTTTTCAGAAACATTTCATTTCTCATTTACTCATGAAAGTGATGCATAGTGATTTTGTGTGTGTGAGTAGACTACATTCTGAGCTAAAAACTAGTCCTAACCTACCTAGTGCTGACTCTTCCTGGACCTGCTTCTTGCCACTTCTTAAGACATGGGGAATGGTTTATAGTATAGGAAAGGGAAAGAAGTCCTTTGCCTACAGATTATAATGAATTTGCTTCTATATAAATTATGTGAAGAATAGAAATAAATCAAGAGTTTCTTATATTGTAATTGGGAAGACATAGACTTTATGGTAATTCTGCCAGAAATTCACAGTCTAGAAGTGGATCTTTCTACCTCTTAAGTTGATTTTTTTTTTTAAATATTATCATAGTCTGACTGGAAATTATTTTCTACATACTATATTTTGAGGCTTAAAGGATACATTGTCACATACATATTTTCTATACTCTTTGAAGAAGTATGAATGCTATAGAGAATTAAAAGAACCTCGTACTACTCACTCTCCCTTTCCCAAATTTTTTATTACTGTGATATGTGTCTATGTCTGTATCTTTGTAGTAGTGGTTAAAGATATGGCATCACTGAATACTGAAAGTAACAGTACTGTTCTTTGATCTTTAAAATCATTTGAAGGTCAATAAAAGCAATTTTCAAGTAGTAGCAGACATTTCTGATTTATGAAATCATTCACTGTCTAGAATTACTGCTGGAAACAGCTTGCTATTTCTCAGTGAACCCATTGATGGACAAAAAGGTAAATGATTATACTTTCTTGTCCATATAAGAGCAATTATTAACTATTTTTGGTAGTTAAAATATTCACCATTTATTTGACATTGATTTCTAAGGTGTTCTTTAAAATTTTATTTTCTTAATAGGAGAAAGTGTTCCAGTGACAAAGACTAATTTGCCAAATCCTTCCGTGGATGTCAAAGGACTGGGGGAGGAGTTATACAGCCCAGAGACACATAAGCGCCACACTTTGTTTTGTGGGACGACTGTTATTCAGACCCGTTTCTACACTGGAGAACTTGTGAAAGCCATAGTAGTGAGAACAGGTAGGTAAAGTCACTTTTGAGTTTGAAACCAACTGAATGTTTATAAAGGGATTCTGGTTGGGGAGGTAAATTCTTATAAAAAGATGAATAAATTTTCTCTTTAATTTTTTTTTTGAAAGGATTTAGTACTTCCAAAGGACAGCTTGTTCGTTCTATACTGTATCCCAAGCCAACTGATTTTAAACTCTATAGAGATGCCTACTTGTTTCTACTATGTCTTGTGGTAGTGGCTGGCATTGGTTTTATCTACACAATCATCAATAGCATTTTAAATAAGGTATGTAACTTTTGATAAGTTTTGTCCTTAATTATTTCACGTGGCTAAAGTTAATTCTAATTCTAAAGAAAACTATGACACTAGTATTTATTATATTAGAAAGCAAAAATATTTTGGGTGATCTAGGCAGGGAAATTGGAAGTTCTAGGCCAGCTTGGGATATGTAGCAAGCATAAAACATTTACATCGTAGCATTTAATTCTTCAGAATGTGATACAAAGCATGAATCCAACTTTTTGTGCAATAAACTGAAATTATATAAATTAATTATATATAACTTGTTTGGTTATTCAGCCATGATGTCATGTTCCTAGCTTTGCCTCTTGGGTGCTGGAATTACCAAAATCATGTTTAGCCACTTAATGGAAGGTTCATGTAAGAGACCATTTCTGATTATTTCTTCCAACGTCTGTGCTTGTAGGATGAGATAGTATCAGATAAGACTTGTTCAACTTGATTTGAAGGCAGTCATGTGAAGAACAGAAGCTGTTAAAAGTGAGACAAGTATTTAGCTGTAGAAGTCTCCTTTAGCTGGTATTCTGATGGTCCATTGGATAGCTCATTGAACCTTCTTTTTCTTAATAATTTCTACACCCTCCTGCAACATTGGGGTTTAAACCTAGGGCCTCAAACATATTAGGCAAGCATTTTTATGCCTTTTATAAAATCTCTAAAGAAAAAATTATATCAGTAAATAGATTAATGTATATACTTACATAAATACAAAAAGTGTTTATTAAATGTTGTTTGACATTTTTATGTTAATTTATGTTAATTGTAGAAAGAAATTCAGGAAATAATTATTAAGTCTCTTGATATCATTACAATTACTGTACCACCTGCACTTCCTGCTGCAATGACTGCTGGGATTGTATATGCTCAGAGAAGACTGAAAAAAGTTGGAATTTTCTGTATTAGTCCCCAGAGGATAAATATCTGTGGACAGCTGAATCTTGTTTGCTTTGACAAGGTTGGTTTGGTTTCATAATCATTACTGTGTTTTAAGTATTTGTTTATATTTCATTTGTAAATTAATTTACCCTTATTTTTATTATTTCTGGAGTTTCCCCTTTCCCAGTTACTTACATATGCATGTTTTGAAATATTTTTCTTACTCTACCTCTCCCCTTTGAAACGAGTTTTTACTATATAGCCCTGGCTGGCTTACAATTCATTTGTATAGACTAGGCTGGCCTCAAACTCAGGGAAATCTGCCTTCCTCTGCCCTCCAGAGTGCTGTACCACCATGTCTGGCCCCTTTCTCAGCTTTTATTTCTTTGTTTACTCTCTGCGGGTGTTTTTCCTCCATCTTTGTCTCTTTAACGTGTGTGCAATGCCCTCAGTCTAGAAGAAGGCACCAGATCTTTGGAACTGGAGTTACAGAGGGTTGTGAGCCACCATTGAATTGAACCCAGGTTCTATGGCAGAGCAGCCTGTGTTCTTCCTCATTTCTTCAGCTTCCTTCCCCTAGTGTTTTCTCAGTTAGCAATCATTTTAGTTTTGCTTGCTTGCTCAGATCTACAAATTAGTGTTGGTATGCCTAGTTATGTCTTATGGTAATAACATAAAGGGAGGCAAGATGGTGGGCTGAGCCCACCCACAAGTGCTAGGCCCTATGGGCAAGGTGAGCTACCTCAAAGATATGGTGCTGGAGTGACGGCTCAGTTGTTAAAGAGCATTTACTGCTCTTGCAGAGGGCCTGGGTTTGATTCAGAGCACACATACGGTATCGTACAACCTGTGACACGCACAGAATGACACATTGATACACAGACAAAACACCCACACATAAAAATAAATTCATTCATTAAAATTTTTAAAACTTTATAGTAGTAATAAGTTAAATTATATAGTCTTTTATGTTTTTAGGTAATTCTAATTTAATACAATTTGTAGGGATATGTATTTACTGTGGTTCATTTTTCATTCACTCATAAGTATGTGTGTTTAATGCTCTGTGATTTTTATTGAATTCCCCCAACCATTTTTATTTTATTTTTTGAAGAAAATTAGTCATTTTCTTTCCTGGATTTGATTGGTAGCTTCTTTTGGTGTTTAAATTTTCTCCTTGGCTCCATGTCCCCTAGTCTGTCCTACCATCACCCCTCCCACCAGCACATACACTGCTTGTTGGGTGGTAGGTAAGTAGGTAGGTTGACTGGTACATTTTGCTTATAGTTTCAGCTCATAAGTGAATAGGGTCAATACAGGTAGGTGCCTTCTTATACTTCAAGGAGTCATAGTGCAATTTCTCACTGTAGACATGTCCTGGAGGTTATTCCCTGGCAGTCTGTCCCCTCTTTCAGGCTTCCCCTAGGCTCTAGCATGTTGTTTCATTTTATCTTTATAAGGTATTGCCTTTACTTTGTGCATGTGTACTTTTTTATTCTAGACTGGAACTCTTACCGAAGATGGTTTGGATCTGTGGGGGATTCAGCGAGTGGAAAATGCCCGGTAAATATTAGCTGGAGTTTTATAGATTATTAGTACAGTTTATTTTTAACATTTTAGCATATTCAACATTCAAACATAATAGGCGATTGTGTTCCCACCACCAAGAGTAAATAGTTGTATATGTTTCAGATGTCTTTTAAAATGTTTTTGTATGTGTGTATATGTGTATACATACATGTGTTTATAAGTGGGGATGGGGGCACAAGCATTCCAGAGCATGCCTGTACTCACAGCGAGTGGCTTTCTTTCCCCCAGCATGTTGGCATGTTTTATTCCAGATTTTAGAGGAAATGTCCTTTTTCTTTTAAGTATGTTGTATTGAGGCATTTCCAGTTTCTTTGTAGCTTTTGTCTTGAAGGGCTATTGAACTTTGTAAAGAGCTGTTTATATAAAGATTGATATTGTCAGTGATTTTTATTCTAATGTGTATTTATTTGCTGTATTACCCTTACTGTCAAATCAGCCTTGTGTTATCCCTGAAATGAAACCAGCTTGGTGTCATGCACATGATTTAATGTGTGGGAATTTTGTTGTTGGTGAGACAAATATCATGTCACCTAAGCTGGCCTCTAACTCATTATGTAGCTGAGACTAGCCCTGAACTCCTCATTCTTCTGCCTCCATCTCCCAGGTGCCACGTCTAGCTGCTAGGCTCACAATCCTAAGTGTTATGTAACTGCAAGATTTCTAGGCTGAGGACTCCATTTCTCCCGACACATTTTGTCTGCTGCTGAGAAGCTTCACTCATCTCTAGCACTCTTTTTCTCTTGTTCCTTTGAAGTATTTCTTTTTCTCTTGTTACTTTGAAGTATTTTTTTTCATAAATGTTTATCCTGATCTCTAGTTTCACATAATTCTTTTTATATTTTCAGGAACATTGGTCAGTAATAGAGTGTGCTTGACTAGCGTGCACAAGGCCTTCTGCTGACCTACATTTTTTATATTCATTTGCTTCTTGATTCTAGGAATTCATAGTTTTGCAACTTCTGGTACATTTCAGCCTCATTCTTTTTTGTTATTTCTTTTTTTTTTTTAATGCTTTGTTTTCCCTTCATCTGGGAATGCTTAGTGAATGTTCGTTTGTTTTCTGAGTAATACTTTTGTGTGCGGAGCATGTGAGTGTGCAAGTGTGTGACTGTGGCTGTGCATGTGCACAGACAGAACTTAGGGGGTCTTCCTTTATCGCTTCCTACCTTATTGTCTTGAGACAGGATCTCTCCCTGTACCAGAAGATCACTGTTTGGACATGCTGACTTGTCATCCCTCTCTTGGAATCTGCTTGTCTCTCCCCTGTCTGCACTCTCTCTTAGTGGCTGAGGCATCTTTCCATCCCTTCCTATTCTAATTTTAAAATCCCCCCTTTTGAACATTTTTTTCAGTTGTCATTTTATTATTTCAGATTTATAGAATTTTGTCTTTATTGATGTCTGCTGACTCTCGTGATGTATTGTTTCCTAGTGTTTTTCCCAGTGTGTCTTTGTTGGTTGGATGTTTGTATTATACTCTTGTGGCTGAGTTTATGAATGCCGTCCTGTAGAGGTTGCACTGGTGGTATTCATGTTAGCTTTACTAATGTCTTATAATTTGGGGATTTTGGACTAGTCAGTAGCAGATATTCACATCCAAAATTTATGCTGTATAGTACAGCAATTCAGATATTTTGCAGAGAAAGCGAATTCTCTTATTTCTGTCCTTACTCCTTGCTCTGTTAACAATGATGGGCTATATAGCTTACAGAAAACTACTTGGCTACTATACTTCAGTTGCCTTATTCAGAGTGGGGATAATAATCTTCCTGGACTGGAGATAGAACTCAGGGTTAGATCATCTGCCTCAAGAGTCTGTGTGTTGCAAGTGTAAGTGATTGTCAGTACTTAGACTCTGGGGTAAACAAAGCAAGTGAGATGAATCAGTAAGTGTTCTAAGATAGTGCCTGGTACGCAATAAAAACTATGCAGCTCACCAAGTGGATTGTTTTTATTTAGGATGTGTGTTGATGGTGTTGCTGAGGATCAGGTTCAGCCTTAGGCTTGTAGCTAGCTAAACTCTTTACTACTGAGTTGCAACAGCTGTTTCTTATCGTCCTACTCTTGTTTGAATTCACTGCATGGACCAGGCTGACTGACTTCCTCATCTTTTTGCCTCTACCTCTTCTATTCCTACCTCTGCACCTAGTTTAAATATTTACTTACAGACAGGGTTTCTTGTTTTCTGAAGTTCAAGTCTGACCTTGAACTCCGTCTTTAGCTCCCATGTGCTGGGATTAGATTACAAGTAGTCACCACCAAACCTAGCTTGATTTGTTTGTTTGTTTGTTTTAAATTACAAACCTTTAAGGGTATGTTAGAATGTTGGCTTGATTCTAGAACTTTTTGGACCTAATTCAGTGTGCATTCTCTGTTTAGGTTTCTTTTACCAGAAGACAATGTTTGCAGTGAGATGCTGGTAAAATCTCAGTTTGTTGCTTGCATGGCTACTTGTCATTCTCTTACAAAAATTGAAGGAGTTCTTTCTGGTGACCCACTTGATTTGAAAATGTTTGAAGCCATTGGATGGGTAAGTTCATTTTTCTTTTTTGAACTTTAATTTTACTTTAAAAAAAAATTTATATGCATTGGTGTTTTGCCTGCATGTATGTCTTTGAGGGTATCAGATCCCCTGGAACTGGAGTTACAGACAGTTGTGAGCTGCCATGTGGGTGCTGGGAATTGAACCCAGGTCCTCTGGAAGAGCAGTTAGTGCTCTTAACTGCTGAGTCATCTCTATGGCCCCCACGTTCAACCTTTTCATTTTTTGTTTTGTTTTTGATGACAAGGTTTTGTGAGTCTAGGCCTACCTAAACAGCTGCATAACTAAGATATGCTTCCTTTACCTCCTGAGTACTGGCCTGAGCCCTTGTGCTAGGCTGTATCTTCAGCAGTCGCTTCTCCCAGTTTCTCTTCGCAAGACGTCGGCTCTCACAGTGCTGAGCCTCAGCTGCTCTCTCTGACCCCGTTCATGGCTTCAGAATAAGTACCACTTACATGACTCAGACACATTGCCAATTCTGGGTGTAAACATGAGATGCAGCCTGTCTACCCTGGACTACAGGGTGAGTTGATCCTGAGGAGATTTTCCCAGATTTCACCTCAGCGATTCTGGTCTCAAGACAGGGTTTCTCTTTGTAGCCCTGGCTGTCCTGGAACCCACTCCGTTGAACATGTTTGAGTTGGCCTCAAACTCACAAAGATCCTCTTGCCTCTGCCTCCCAGAGTGCTGGGACTACAGATACGTACCACCATGCCCTACCTGATTTTTTGTTGGTGTTTGTTTGGTTTTTGTTCAACACAGCTAATTCTTCAGCTCCAGCTGACCAGAACCTCAAGATTCTTAATTTAAAAATACATAATCAGGTCTGCCACAGCAGTATTCCACATCCTGGTACTGATTTCTGTTAGGGTTTCTATGGCTGTAGTAAAACACCATGACTAAAGACAGCTTAAGGAGAAAAAGGTTTATTTTAACTCACAGTTCCATATGACGCCCATCATTTAAAGAAGCTGGTGTAGGAACTAAAAGCCAAAACTTCCTGGAGGCTGTGAGATAAAGCAGAGGCCATGGAAGAGTGCTAATCAGACCTCCCCACCTGCCTTTGATACAGGCAGGGTCTGTCTACATAGTCCCACCTGTCTTAGAATTCATTATGTAGATCCTGCTAACCTTGAACTCACAGAGCTCCACCTTACTCTGCTTCCTGAACTCTGGGATTAAAGGCATTTGCAACTATGCCTGGCTTTAGCCAGCTTTCTTAATCTGCCCAGGGTTTGCAGCTTGTGTAGATCTGGGCCCTACCACATTAACATTAACAAGAAAATGCTTCACATGCTAATCTAATGAGAGAGCATTTTCTTGATTGAGATTCCCTCTTGAACCTGACTAATCATAGGATGATTAAGATACATTCCAGTTTCTGAGATGGTCAGATGTAGAAAAGTGTGCTGTGGAATTGTATAAATTTAATTTTTTCAGCGGCTTTTCATTGATTGATTGCTCTAGTTACTGAATTAGGTTAACTTAATTAGGGTAAATGCATGTGTATTTAATAGAGGCTCTTGTTTGAGCTTGTTTCTGGTTTTGGTGGCATGCTTATGCCAGGCACATGTTCTGCCGATTCCCTAACCTGTTTGGAGTCTTTTTCATTCTTCCCCTTCTGCATTATTATTATTATTGGTGATTGGTGGTGGTGGTGGTGGTGGTGGTGGTGGTGGTGGTGGTGGTGGTGGTGGTGGTGTGTGTGAGTGAGAGAGAGAGAGAGAGAGAGAGAGATCATGTTCTTGCCATGGACCTCATATGGAGGACAGTGGACAGCTTTTGATAATTGGTTCTCTTCCACTATGGAAATCTCAAGATCAAATAACCAGGTTTACACAGCAAGTATTTTCAATCCTTGAGTCATCTTACTCAGAAAGAAAAAACAAAAAGTTGCGAGCTGGAGAGATGGTTTAGTGCTTAAGAACACTGGCTGCCTATGCAGAGGACTCATGTTCAGTTCCCAACACCATGTGGCAGCTTAGAACCATCTGGAACTTCAGTCCCAGGGGATTCCATGACCTCTCCTGGCTTCTATTGGCACAACGTACACACCCGGTGCACAGATAATATGTGCAGGTAAAATATCTATACACATAAAATTATTTTTTAAGTGAAAATCAAGAGGTCATGACTACAGTAGCTTAACTAAAAGTATTTATGCTTTCATAGAATGACTCTAAAAATCACTACTGGTACAGCTTATTTTCTCTGTAGTGGTTCTATTAGCTCTATATGAACTCTGTTTATGGCCTCTGAAAAGCTCTCATGAAATCCAGCTTGCCCTCAAGCTCACTGTGTATTTAAGCTGGTATTAAACTTATGATTTTTTTGCTTCTTTATCTTTGAATACACCTGTGAACACATACAAACGTGTATCATTTGTTGACAGACAAGAAATCACTATATTATAGGCTAAAAATACTTAAAAAGTAACATTGTGTCTCCAGCTCCTTCTGAAGACAACAGGCTGCTCATATCTACTCTTTTATTCTATTTCCAAGTTCTTTCTCTCCTCACTCAAAGGTTGCCAGGTATGAGTAGCTTTTTTATATTTATTTATATTAATAAAATAAGTTTATTTTATTTATGTTAATAACTTAGTGTTCACATGTCCTTTGGTAGGTTTTTTAATGGTAGGTACGCTTAATGAGTTTAGAAGTTCGTGATGTGTTGAGTATTTTCCTTTTAGATTTTGGAAGAAGCAACTGAAGAAGAAACAGCCCTTCATAACCGAATTATGCCCACTGTGGTTCGTCCTTCCAAACAGCTGCTTCCCGAGTCTACAACTGCAGGAAACCAAGAAATGGTATGATGTCACCCAGTGCTGGCAAACATAGTGGCTGCTCACTTTAATTCTAGTTTGGAATTCTCTCTAGACGAGAAAGTCAGGTGTTTCATTTTATGTTCATGCAGATACAGGTATTTTAACTGGGTTTATCAGAAAGGTTACTCCTGATGTGCTAAGGCATTCCCTGTAAAATGTTGAGATTTAATTCTCAGTTCCCTTCTGTTCCTTTGCCATTTATACAAGTGATGATCTTTTTAGTATGCATCTGTATTCCTAGAATTGCATACAAAGAATCTATTATTAAAAGGCACTCTTACTGGTTTTCATCATTTATTTTACCATTTAATGTGCCAGTATTTTTATGATTTAATAATACTTGAAAATGTTGAACACCATTTTGCACCTCCTTTTCCCCACCCACCTCTGCTAGGAAGGAATTGAACCCTGGGGCTTATGCATTCTGGCCTGGTGGTCACACTGTGGAGCCTCACTGTGGCAGCACACCTTTTTCTTGGGGGGTTCTATAGAGGGGCTCTCAGGTTCTAACTTAAATACTCAAAGTTGTTTGATACTTTCTAAATGTTTAAGTTTTTCTAGCTGGTATATATTAATCTGTTCTTTATTCTCTTGTCTTTAGGAGCTGTTTGAACTTCCAGTAAGTGAAGAAAGCTTTCTTTTTAGATAAGTACATTTGCTTTTATTCTTAAAGAATAATAAATCTTTTGTGTGCATTTTTGAAATTAAATAGGCTATTTATGAGATAGGAATTGTTCGCCAGTTCCCATTTTCTTCTGCTTTGCAACGGATGAGTGTGGTTGCAAGGGTACTAGGTGATAAGAAAATGGATGCCTACATGAAAGGAGCCCCTGAGGTCGTTGCCAGTCTTTGTAAACCTGAAACAGGTAAGAAAATAGATAGGCTCTGGGTAAAATTCTGATGTTTTTATGAACTTACAGTGGCAATTCTAAAAGTAAATTTTGTTTTTAAAAGTTCCAGTTGAATTTGAAAAAGTTTTAGAAGATTATACCAAACAAGGCTTTCGTGTAATTGCTCTTGCACACAGGAAATTGGAGTCAAAACTGACATGGCATAAAGTACAGCATATTAATAGGTAAGGCTGAGCGGCATTCCTAAAGTTTCCCAATAATGCATCACTATAAGTCATGTGGAACAGTGGCATGTGATTGTCTATTTTTAAAGGTTGAATAAATGAGGTGTGTATATTGTGGCTTTGTTTCAGGTGTTTTGAGGTAAAACTGACTTTTTTTTCCCCCCTTTTCTTCTATATTGCCTTTTGTTTGTTTTTCAAGACAGTTTTTCTGTGTATTCCTGGCTATTCTGGAATTCACTGTGTAGATGGGATTAAATCCTGTGCTGTCATGCCTTACTCTGTGTTGATTTTATTTTGCCTTTGTTTATGTTACTTTTCTAGTTTTTAAATTATGTACATGTCTGTGTGTGGACTTGCACATGGGAATGCAGTACCCATGGATGCCAGAAGGGAGTGAGTGATCCCCTTGAGCTAGAGTTACAGGTGGTTGTAAGATGCCTGATGTAGGTTCTAGGAAGTGAATTTGGCTGTATTTTCAACAGTGGAGGTATGTGCCCTTCACCATAGAGCCATACTGCAGGCCATGCACGTTCTAGGAACAGTCAGTGGTAGCGGTTCTGTTTATTTTCCCTAATGGGAACCAAATACAAATTTGGTCAATGAGTATCTTGCATCATAATACATGCTATTCTTTCTCTCTAGTTTTTCTCTCTCCTTTGTCAAATGACATTACTATCATTTTTTCTTTTTCTATGTAAATACGGTTTTATATTTGACTTAGTTTCTTTGCCTATGAAAAAACTGAGTTCTCCCAGCCAGAGAATGGTGCCACCTACAATGGGTGGGTCTTCCCACTGTAACATAGTCCCCATGGGCATGCTCAGAGTTCTTCCAGCCAAATTGACAGCTGTTACCAATCACCACACCCTACTGATTCCTGTTGCTTTACCTGATAATGAACTTCCCTTTGTTATTACTGCATGCTGTGTTTAGTATGTTGTAAGTAGATAAGAATATTCTTTGACCTCGTTCTGCCTTTGTGGAAAGGTGATCTGAACATGAATATATTTTTGAATATGTGGCTCAGAGGGTAAGAGCACTGGCTTAGATTTGGTTCCTAGCACCCATAAACAGTACTATAGGATCCAACATTTTTGTCTGAACTTCTGTGGGCACTAGACACACCACAGTCATACATGCAGGTAAAACACAAACATAAAAAAGGAAAAGGAAGGAAGGAAAGAAAAAAATGAAAGAAATCTAGGGGCTGGAGAGATGGCTCAGAGGTTAAGAACACTGGCTCTTCTTTTTTTTTTTGGCTGTTCTTCCTAAAGGTCCTGAGTTCAATTCCCAGCAACCACATGGTGGCTCACAGCCATTTATAATGAGATCTGGTACCCTCTTCTGGCATGCAGGCAGAACGCCATGTACATAATAAATAAATAAATAAATATTAAAAGAAATCTAGTGAACTGATACACATATAACAATGAAAGCTACAAATATGTCCTAATTCCCACGCAGGACACATTAGTTTTTTCTTGCTTTATAATGTCACCTTTTGTCATTGGCACCCTTAAAGACTAATTACTGAGTTACCTTTAGTTCTTGAGCCTGTCATAATCAGAGAGCTTTTCATGCTCTTGAATAGACTGACCAGATTACTCTAGCCCTCCTTGTTTAACTGTGTCTGTTTTCTTTCTTTTCCTTCAACCAATATCATGTCTGTGTTTTTGCCCAGTAGGAACAGATTTTTATGTTTTCTCTTATTTAAACCTTTACTTTTTAGAATTGTACAGTTCATTAGAGTACAAGATGTCCATGACATTTGGCATTAGTCAGTATTTTAAAAGATGCCATGTACTGAGTAATCTAATGGTTATTTTTATCAAGTTGCTAAGATAAAGAATTGTATTTTGTAGACATTTTGTAGAATTAATTCTTAATGAATTTTATCTAGTGTCCCTTGCCCCTAACATTTAAATTAGGCTATATTTCATGAGGGAAACAGAAAGAGTCTGCCTTAGTTCCAGAACTGATGAATGTTTACAAAGATAAACATTTCCAGATTATCTTTGTATTTTATGTCAGGTTAGTTTTTATTTCAATATATCAAAAAATTGTTTGGAAATTATTTTTTGAGATTTTAGTTTTTGGAGATAGTAAACTGGTCAGTGTACATATGGTTCATTCAGTATGTGAATGTTTTACTTTATAACTTAAAGGTGTTTTAGATTTAGATAGTTTAGATTTCTCTGTCAGTCTTTTGTCTGAGCTAAACCATTTTGTGTTAACATTTTTTTAGAGATGCCATTGAAAACAACATGGATTTTATGGGATTGATTATAATGCAGAACAAGTTAAAGGAGGAAACCCCTGCAGTACTTGAAGATTTGCATAAAGCCAACATTCGTACTGTCATGGTAACAGGTGAGTATGACTCTAGAGCTCAAGTTGTGTGGTACTGAGGGAGTTACAAAAGCTATTGAAGACACTTGGACACTGTGTCAGTGATCCAAGGAGGCCATGTGGGGTCAGGACAGATGTAAAGCAAGCACACACTCACACAAGATCCAACAACTTTCACATGTACATACATACATTTGATGGATAGAACAAAGCTCCAAACACTTTACATATATACATAGACGTTCACCTGTTGGGTGGATGGAGCAAAGCTCTAACTTCATTTTTTTCTCCCACAGCTTTTATTTATCCCAGCAAAATCTTTCAAGCAGGACAAAAATCACAATATGGTTTCATTCTATTTTTTTAAGTGAACGATTACAATGTGTGTACATAGAAAAACATGTTCCCTAATACCCTCACACGATCAAATATTTTACATAAATATGGCTGAAAAACAAATTATTCCCAAGAACCTGCATACATTTGTAGCTAAACAAGTTGTTATAGATTAACAAAGTGTAAAATGGAAGCAAGGTAATTTTCTCAGCCAGTTTCTCTTACTGGCAAACGGCAGTTTTCTGTTACAAAGAACCATAGATCTAGATCTAACCTTTTATATAAAAACAATCAGTCGGATCTACTTCAAATCCTCAAGATGCACATCTACTCATTAACAGTTTTTTATTAAATCATATCAGGAAGCTAAGAGAAAAATGAGTACAAGAAATTAATCATCACATCGATCCCCAGCCCAGCTTCAGCAAGAAAGAAACACATCAGTTAGTACCAGTTGGGCTGCCGTTGTTCTTGTATCCTGATCTCAGAAAGTCCACAGCTCAGCTATTAAGAGGGTGCCCTTCTGAACTTCAGATTATTCCCAAGATTTCCTACATTAAAGTCATTAACAAAAACATCTTAACCTAACTTTACTAACAGTCTGCATCTGTAGTCTTTATCTCTAAGTTCTTTCCAAGCATAGTGTTGAATTATTTTTTTTAAAGATTTATTATTTATACAGTATTCTGCCTGCATGTATGCCTACTCACCAGAAGAGGGCACTAGATCTCATTATAAATGGTTATTAGCTACCATGTGTTTGTAGGGAATTGAACTCAGGACCTTTGGAAGATCAGACAGTGCTCTTAACCACTGAGCCATCTCTCCAGCCCGGTGTTGAATTATTAATTATTAATCTACTCTAGCAGCAATGCCTGAAAAAGACAAACACTATTATTTTTTGTTTGTTTTTTTCCAAGCCCTATTATTGCAAGTGCCAATGATACCGCCCATTGAGTGGCTAGAAGGCCCCTTGAAGGATGTGGTACCTGTAAGGCAACAAGGACCGTGATGCTTCGTAACAGCAGCATGAACTTCTCAGGACACTTAGTCCTCAGGGCTTTTCTCCAAAGCACACCCATTGTGTTAACCAATGGGCCGCATTCCATGAGTTTTTAAAGCTATTTTGCTGTTCCTTCTGCATGGTCTTTGACAGAAAGCACATTATTTAGTGACTTTACCATTTGTTGTCCTATTTCAACTATAAATATTTTCCCAAACTACAAACCTTGCTCTCTCTCATTTTTAACAAAATCTGTTAATAGAAATACATACTAAAGGTACCTATTCTGTACCTTTTTGTTCTATTTCCTGAACCATGTGTTATACCTTGACTTATGTGAATTATCTATAAATGATTCTTGGCAGTAATATAAAATTCCTAAGGAATGAGTGCGTGCCTTTTTCTTTTTGGGGGTTGTTAACAAGTTTTTGTATTGGCATATACATAGGTGTTTTAGACTTAGATGAGATGTTTTTCAATTACATTTCATTTCTGTATTATGTGCAAGACAGAAAATACCCTGCAGGAGGCAGGTATGGTCCTCCTTCCATGCGAATGCTGGGACTCATTCAGGTTAGCAGGGCACCTTTTCTTGCTGAGCCTTCTGGTCGGCCCTTCTTATCATTCTGTTCTGACTAGCCATAGTAGAAGCCAGTACTTGTTCTGTACATCCATGTTTCCCTTTCAGTTTTAATGTGTCTAAAATATTTTGGAAAATTAGGTGATAACATGTTGACGGCTGTCTCTGTGGCCAGAGACTGTGGGATGATTCTACCTCAGGATAAAGTTATTATTGCTGAAGCATTACCTCCAAAGGATGGAAAAGTTGCCAAGATCAATTGGCATTATACAGACTCCCGGACACAGTGTACTGAATCAGCAATTGACTCAGAGGTAATGTTTACATTGTCTTTCTAGGTTTGCTTATTTGAATCTAGTCTCAAAACCAAAAATACAGAAGATATACATGAAAACTCAATAGTAACAAAAATTAAATGAAAATAGAAGCCAGGGCTATCACTCCAGAGGTTGATTGATTTTCATAAGAATCTGAATGTTTAAATTTTGATACTGATTTTCCTTTTTAATGACTTCTATAATGTAAAATCACTCAATTTTGGCATTAACATGTTGAGCATGGAACTGTATTTCTTGGTATAGCTACTTGAATATTGTTCTGAATATCTTCTGCACAGGTTATTCCAATTAAACTTGCCCACGATAGCTTAGAGGATCTTCAGTTAACTCGCTACCATTTTGCGATGAATGGAAAGTCATTTTCAGTGATACTGGAACATTTTCAAGATCTTGTTCCTAAGGTTAGTACTTTGGATTTATGAATGGGTTCATGGCTCATTTTAAACAGCATTTTAAAAAGATAATGTATTTCCTAGTTGATGTTGCATGGCACCGTGTTTGCTCGAATGGCACCAGATCAGAAGACGCAGTTGGTGGAAGCACTGCAGAATGTAGAGTAAGTACTGACAGCCTTTCCGTAGGAATTATATAATTTCATTTTTAAATTCTGAACAGTAATTTATTTCTTATGTGTAAGTTGAGCATCCTTAATCCAAGTACCAGAAATGAAATGCTTTAAAATCTGGGGCTTTTTGAGAGTCACAATAGAATTTGAAGGAAATATTCCAAAATAAGAAGAATTGCAAAAATCTGAAACACTTCGTATTCCAGATGGGAAATATTAAAGTGCATGTGTATGTCTATGTATATGAAGAATTGTTACCTACACGATAGGTAAGAACTTAAACAATGTTTTTAAAACAAGTTAACCTACATGTTCATCTGGCTTAAGTAAAATACCTATAATTCTCAAGGTTATATCTACAGAGAGATCATTAATTCGTGTTTTTTAATTGAAATTTTTGCACATGCATACAGTTTGCTATTTAAAAAAAAAAAAACACTCCCTATTCCCTCTGATCCCCTTCCTAGCTCTCCTTCCACTTCTCCCTCCCAGCCTCACGTGTTCTTTCTTCCTTTTTTTCATCCTCCTCCATCCATTTGGTGCTTGCATTGCATCGACTTGACTTTATATTTTGAATTTGGGGTGTTTTTGTTTTGAGGCAGTGTCTCAGCTAGCCTTGAGCTCTTGCTCCCCCCAAGGTTCACACAGATGCACTTGGGTCATGGCTCTGCAGTTTTAGTAACTAATAACACAAAAAGTGTATTCCAAAGTATGCAGGCTCAGTCAAGCCTTTTGCTCTGCAGGTAAAGAAATTGAGACACCAGCATCCTTTGTCCATGTACATATGGAAAGCATTCTAGTTTCAGCCAGTACTGTCAATGATCACTTAGTGTGAAGAGCATTGGTTTCATTTATCTGTTAGCTCTCTGGCTTTGTATTGGAGAATTAACTACTTTATATGTGAATTGTAAGAAATTAAAAAAATCTTAAACTCCTTTTTTTTTTTTTAGTTACTTTGTTGGGATGTGTGGTGATGGTGCAAATGATTGTGGTGTAAGTACACTTTTTGTGATTTATTTTGTAATTTGTTCTTTAGCCCAAGTCATTCACAAAATTGATTGAATTTTCTTTAAACTGTTAGGCTTTGAAGAGAGCACATGGAGGCATTTCCTTATCTGAGCTTGAAGCTTCTGTGGCATCTCCCTTTACTTCTAAGACACCTAGTATCTCCTGTGTGCCAAACCTCATCAGGTAATAAAAATCAGAATTTTTCTTGTTTGTGTGTTTTTGGAGACCTTAAAATGTGTATGTGTATGTTGTCTGTAGGAAAGTTTTGTGCACCATTTGCATGCCTGGTACCCAAGGAGACCAGAAAAAAACATCTGAACCCCCTAGAACTAGCGTTTTAGGACAGTTTTTGAGTTACCATGTAGGTGCTCTGAATCAAATCCCAGATCTTCTGGAAAAGTAGCCAATGCTTCTAACTGCTGAGCCAGCTCTCCAGCCCCAGAAGAAAACAACACTCCCACCCCCTAGCCCCCTTCCCGACACATGCCCCCTTAGTGCGTCTGTATTTTGAGACAGGGCCCACTTTGTAGCACAGGCTGGTCAGAATTTCACTGTGTAGCCTGTTTAGCCTTGAACTTGTGATCCTGCTGTCTGTCTCAGCTGCCCAAGTGTCTTTGAGTAGATGTGAGAGCTAGAATTTATGGCTTGAATTTTATTATTTTGTTCTGTAATGCGCTTAAAATATAGTAGGGTGAATTATCATAAAAAGCAATGGAAACCTGTTTTAATGTTCAGTACATTTGACCTATGAATCAATGGTAACAGATTAGTGCCCTTCTAGCATACATATTTTTGGTAGTCAGCCAAGAACTTTGTTACAGCTGTGAATGTTGATGTTCCTCTATCAAGATGGAATTGCGTTCTGAAGGACAAGCTAAGGTGCTGTTTGTCACATCCAGCATTTCTGTTCACAGGGAAGGCCGTGCTGCTTTAATGACGTCCTTCTGTGTGTTTAAATTTATGGCATTATATAGCATCATACAGTACTTCAGTGTTACTCTCCTGTATTCTGTGAGTACCACCACCAAATAGACATGTTCTTAATGGTAAAGCCCCAGAGGTATTGGCATGTGTCTTTGAGTTTTAAAGTGAAATTTAGGTAGTGTGTGTAAAATTACCTTGGGGTATTGAAGTTGGGATAGCAGTAGTTTGGGGTGCATGTTCCTTAAAGCTTGTACACATGGCTAAAGCTTTGTGAGAAAAACTGCTGATTGTGTTCTTTTTAGTCTATAGTACAGTGTCTTTGCTTGTTTTGGATAGGATTTCAAGTTCGTAGGCTAGCTTCAAATTCAGTACGTGGTTGAAGACGTCCTTGAAGTTGTAATCCTCTAGTGATGTCATGCTAGCAATAGAGGTGTAGGCCATCTGTGTTACAGTCATAGTTGTGGTCACGTTGCTGCACATTTACAGAAAAAGAGCCCTACTCTCTTAGATTATGACTGACATGATCTTACTGTAGACTTTCTACTAATTGACACTAGCTTTCTAAAGATGTCTTTATGAACACTCCCTTATTACTATTTATAAAAATACCAGAAGGGTAGAATTAAATATGAAGAAATTAAAGACACTGACCCTTGAGAATAGAGTATTAGAATGTTGAATATTTTGAGAAAAAGAATTGTTTCCAAGATTAAAAAAAAAAAAATTGTCAAATATATTTTAAATTCACACCTTTTATACTAACATTCACTCAAAGTTAGGCAAATAGGTTGTTGATTAATTTCAAAAGCAGATGTTTAGGTATCATTTTGAAGGTGTTACTCGGGATTGTAGGCTGGCAGCAGTGCTATGGAAACAGTCTTCAGCTTTAACAATTGCTTTTGTAGATCTTGAGTAACCTGGGAGACTTCCAGTTTCTCTTCATTGATCTGGCAATCATTTTGGTAGTAGTATTTACAAGTGAGTATTTTGCTTATTTTCTTGATTTTAAAACATATGAAAATTTGAAATTATGTATTAAATTTTGGTAAATTTACATCAACCATTATAAGTAGCTTATACCTCTCCAGTTTTCCTGTATATGTTTTTTTACTGCTTGTTTCTATTTTGCCCCAGTGTTTTCTTTTTCTTTTTTTTTATTTTATTTTATTTTTTTTCCCCAGTGTTTTCTATATTGGAAGTGGAGTGTAATCCTGGCTCATAAATTTTATCTTGTTTTTGTTTTGCTCTCTCTTTTTCTCAACTTTTGGAATTAATTTATTTACATCTTAAGGGCCATAAAGCTCTAAATGCACACCTTACCCTTCTTGCTCAGTTAGTATATCAGGTGAGGACCCGATATGAGCAGTTATGGATTTGATCCTTGCTGCATTATCTTACCCTTAACTAGCAGGCTTTCTTTTCTTTTTTGAAAATAGATTTTTTTTTTTCTCTCATACAGTACATCCCAACCAGTGTCCCCTTCCTCCATTCCTAACTCTTCCCCAGACATACTCCCCCTTTGTTTTCTTTTCAGAAAAAAACAGACCTCCAAAAGGTAACAGCCAAACAGGACAAAACAAGGTGCAATATGACAAGGCAGGAGCCTTCATAGATGCTGGCCAAGGCAGTCTAAGAGGAAGAATAGAGTCCTGAGAGCAGTCAGAAGAGTTATGCTCCTCCAGTTAGGGGTCCCACAAAAACACCAAGTTAACAGCCAAAATAAATATGCAGAGGACCTGGTGCAGACCTGGTGCTTGCTGTTTTAGTGTCTGTGACCCCTTAGTTGATTCGGTAGGCCATCCATCCATCCTTGAGTCATCCATCGCACATCCTCTGGGTTTCCCCATCTCTGAGGGGAGGGACCCAGTGGAGACCTCCAGTTTAGACTTTGTCTGCACAATGTCTCACTGTGCGTCTCTGCACTAACTCCCATCTACTGCTTGAGGAAGCCTCCCTGAAAATGACTGGCCAAGCCACCAATCTGTGAGTTTAGTAGGAGATCATTAGGAATCATTTCACTGATTTTTTTTTTTTAAGACCAGTCATGTTTAGTTCTACCCTAGGTCTCTAGATTCTCCAGTCTGCAGCTATGCAATCAGTGTTGAGCTTGATTATTATTTACTTAACAGTTAATATCTACTTAAAAGTGAATAATGTACATACCATATTCTTTCTGGGTCTATGCTACCTCACTCAGGGTAACTTTTTTTTTCCTGGTTTTATCCACGTGTTTGCAAATTTCATGATGCCATTTTTTTTTTTTTTTTTTTTTTTTTTTTTTTACCATTAATACTCCATTTTGTAAATTAACCACATTTTCTTTGTTCATTCTTCAGTTGAGGTTCAGTTTCCAGTTTCTGGCTATTGTGAATAAAACTGCAGTGAACATAATTGAGAAAATGTCCTTTTGGTAGGATGGAGTATCTTTTGGGTTAATGTGCCCAGATGCAACACAATCCCTATCAAAATGCCAACACTGTTTGTTGGTTTATTCATTTATTTATTCATTTTTTTATTTATCTGGGGGGAGGTTGTTGAGACAAGGTTTCTCTGTATAGCCATGGCTGTTGTGGAACTCATTCTGTAGACCAAGCTAGCACTGAATTCAGAGATCTGCCTGCCTCTGCCTCCTGATCACTAGGATTAAAGGTATGTGCCAACACATTCTGGCAAAACTTTTATAGATTATTTTTACTTTCATAGATTATGTTTATAGATTATGTTTACTTTTATAGATTATTTAAGTGTGAATGACATCTGGCTTGCATGTTTAGAAACTTTTCTTATTAAATATTTACTAGATAAAACCAGAATTTTAATAGTCTTATTTCCAAGTGTATTTCATTATGTCTTTCTTAGTGGAGGAATTTAGACTAAACTTTTTTGTCCTTTCCTTTCAAATATAGTGAGTTTAAATCCAGCCTGGAAAGAGCTTGTGGCACAGAGACCACCTTCGGGCCTTATATCTGGGGCCCTCCTCTTCTCCGTCTTGTCTCAGATTATCATCTGCGTTGGATTTCAGTCGCTGGGTTTTTTCTGGGTCAAGCAGTATAAAGTGTGTGATCCATATTCAGAGTGAGTTGGTCAATCCATTGTAAGATGACTATAAGAAGATGAGCCTTGAAATGTGTATAGAACCTGCATGCAGTTTGCTTTAAACACCTAAATAATTTTGTCTTTTTCTCATGCTAACTTCTGTCTTTAGGAGAGAGTATCTTAGTTTTCTGTTCATCAGTACACTAGCCAAGCTGTAAAGAAAAGGGAGTTAGTTACCTTGCCTTGTAGTTGAGAAACTACATATGTCTTTTTTGATGGTGGTGTTTCTAAGGCAGTACCAGACACAACACAGTGAGAGACTTATTTAAACTAGGTTTTATATCTGACCTATTCTGATATGCCCCCATTCATCCATTAATTGCATGAATGAATTAATTGACTCATGGGATAGAACCCTAATCACTCCTTAAAGTTCTCATCCAGTCTCTGCTTTTAGTATCTCAATGGGGTTTAAATTTGAGCATAAACTTTAGAGAGGGGACCATATTAAGGCCATAGCAGAAAATGTCAAGACAAAGTGCAACTCATTACCTAAATAGGATTTAGAATCACTTGAGGAATTTGCTTCTGAGACTTGCTTATCTGTAAAATGAGAAAAATTGGCATCAGTCTCAGTGAGGCATAGTGTTGTGCTTCCAGTATTTATTCATTTATCCAGTATTTATTTTTAAATATTTATTTTTAAATATTTTGAAATTCTGAAAGGAATATCAGGTGTTTGGTTCTACTCTTCACAAACTATGATGTGAATAATTTTGTCAACTCTTCAGTTGTGAATATTTTAATTTGCTTGATTGAGATTATCATTAAAATTTTAGAAAAATAAAAAATATTATGTTTTCTTAAGCATTGCCCATGAAAAGGAATGGACAAAGCTATCTTGAATCTTTTTGAACATCATTTATAGAGCTTCAACATTTAGCTGTTTTTGCTGCAAAAACATTAATAATTATGTATACACAATAATATTGTTCACTTAGAAATGAGGGCAAGCCATAACTAGAAAACCCTGAAGGTTATCTTGGTGCCAGTGCTTGGCCAGACATTAGCACATGTCATCATACTTAGCCCCTACAGTATAACTACAGAGAAGTGTGGACCCTAGATGAAGAGGTGGAGTCTAATTTATTGAATAAGACACTTATCCCCAGTTATCATGGAGTAGCTCTAAAGACTGTCCTGTGGCCTGTTTACATTCACTGTGCTAAAATTCTAAAACTAAAAAAAATAATAGATTATAATTTTAACTGATTGTAATATATACCTAAAAGGGAAAGTTCTCCCTGCCCTGTGTGTTGCTGCTGTTTCATCTTTAAGGCATCTAAAATAACATTGGCCCCTTGGGAAGATGCTGCTGTGTTCTTAATGGGATTTTTGTGTATTCCAGTGTTTGTAATACAACAAGAAGTGCGTGTTGGAACTCATCACACTTATACAATGGAACTGAACTCGATACATGTAAAATACAAAATTATGAAAATACTACAGTGTTTTTTATCTCCAGTTTTCAGTACCTCACAGTGGCAGTTGCCTTTTCAAAAGGAAAACCATTCAGGCAGCCTTGCTACAAGAATTGTAAGTATGACATCATGATTTCCACCTTCCTCTTTCCTGACAAGATTGTCAAGAAGAAAGCTGGACTTGGCAACATACCAGTAATCCTACTTAGCTGCATAGCCAGACCCTGGCTCAAAATAAGAATTTTAACTAGTAAACCTTCTTGCATAGTTAGATACTTTTTTAAAATGCTTTGAATGTTTACTGTCTTGTTTTTACTTTCGTGAACATCCTACTCAAAGTTTAAAAATTACAGCAACAACTCTGGTTTTCATATCCTGTTATTTAGGGCCCTTTTCTTCTTTGAGTGAGTACAGAGACTTAGAATTGAAGGGAGGAACCTATAGGAGGCTCCTGTGGAGACAGTTGATGAGCTTTTCTTTTCGGTATTCTACATAGTGCCAGCTGCCCTTTTCTGTACTCATACTGTTGTCAAGGTCAGTGGCTCTGGAATTCCTACGCTTTAATCACTTTCGCTCCCTATCACTGAAGTGGCCAACAGCACAGAGTTTTGTGTCTGTCTATAGGTGAATATAAATGTCAAAAATTAGACTTTATGAACAAAACTTGGTTATACATGCAAGTTGCTAGCTTTTAAAAATTGAAAATAGGACCAGTGAGATGGTGTGGCAGGACAGACACTTGTCCTGCCAGAAAAGCTTGACCTGAGTTCAGTCCTTAGAACCCACGAAAAAGTACAAAAAGAGACTGGTCTGTGACTCTACATGTGTGTCCTGGCATGTATGCCAGTTCACACAGTAATAATAACTTTAAAATCGAAAACATTAGTTGATGTGTCTTTTGAAGTAATATGCAGCAAATGGCAAGTATTTGTGTGTTGTAGCTGTGAAAAGATGTCATTGTTCAGTTAAAATGCCAGGTCTAGATTTTGGACATCATAGAGGTAATAACCATTAGAGCCTCATTCTCATTTTGGAGTTGAAGAACATTTCCACATGCCTATCCCTGTTTGACCTCATCTGTGTTTGAACAGGTAACATTGAAATTTGTTTTTACTGATATTTTTTTTCCCCTCCCTTTTGGAACTGATAGTTCTAACTGTACTATCAGAACCATGCTGTGGTACTTATAACAGAACTTTATAACAAAAGTTATCATATAAAAGGTGAACCATTTTGCTGAGGGAGGGGAGGCAGAATTAGAGCTTAAACCTAGGGACTTCTACCACAAGCTAGGTAGGTACTGTACCATTGAACTATATCCTCAGCTCTTTTTCTCTACCCTTTTCTTCCTTTCTTCCTTCCTCTTTCCTACCCTCCTTCCTTCCTTTTCTTTCTTCCTTTCTTGGTGAGGTTATCCTCAGCTTCTGATCCTCCTGCCTCCACTTCTTGAGTGCTAAGATTGCAGGTGTTTGCTACCACACACAGCTTATATAGCACTAGGGGTCCCGCGCTGTGCGTGATGCTTACTGGGTAAAGCATTCTTCCAACTGAGCGATATCCCCAGCCCTTCCTTGTTCATTTATGTATTTATTTATTTTAATTAATATTGTATGTGGAGGACAGAAGACAGCATTTGAGAGTCTGCTGTCTACTTCCACATTTTACATTGGTGCCAAAGTCAGACTCAGGTCACCAGGCTTGTGCAGCGAGTGCCTTTTCCTGCTGTGCTGTCGTGCAATGGTTCTCCTGAACACTGAGATTGCAGGTGCAGTGCGCTGTGTCTAGAGACAGTGGCTTTCTTTGTAGCAGTCTAAGAAAATATACTTTTATCTTATTTATACTTGTTTGAGAAAGAGATTGAGTGCATGAGAGACTCAAAGTGAGTGAGTAACTGAGAGATTTGAATTGCTTCAAGCAGGGAGTGCTCTGGGGGCAAATCAAGGCTGTGGTGCTTTCAAGGCAAGTACTCTCACATAGAGCCATACCCAGGCTTTGTGTTTTGTGTCGTTGTTTTGGGTTTTTCTGGCAGAGCTGGGTTTAAAGGTGTGTGCCACCATACCTAACTCCATACCCAGTTTTAAGCTAATTATATTAAAAATACATCTTATACATGATTTAGAAAACTTCAAATTCATGTTCTCATTTAGTTTTCAGTTGATGTGAATAATCATTTTATTGTTCAAAATGGCATTGATTTCTTCTAAATGTACTAAAATATTTTAGCAGAAATAGAATCATAAAACTACTTTTATTTTCAATACACCTTACAGAGTGTATAGAGGAACCAATTTACATTCTGCTAGTTTTTGCCCCCCCCCCCCTTTTTTTTTTTCTGTCAGTAATGTGCATTGCCATTGGAATTCTTGGAACAGTTCTTTGCTGGGATCATTCACTTGTTCTCTAGATCTAATCAGTGTAATATATTACACTTATTTTGAGGTTTTGTTTGTTGCTGTTATTAACATAAGTCTTACATGTTGGAGGTATCCTCTCCAGAGTGGTATTCCCTCCTAAAATAAAATCTGTTTAGCTACACATTTTTTTTTAAACTTGGTGGTTATATAGGCACTGTTGTGTTTGGCTTCACTTCCATTTCAAGTACCGTGAATGAAGTACACACTTCATTCTTAACTATAATTTCTCATTAGATTTAGCTTTGTTGAGGCAGGGGGTGGCTCAGCAACTTGAAAAATATGTTTAGGTAAATATAACATTTTATAACTGAAGATATATTGTTATTATATAATATATATGTTATGTTATATATTATAATATATAATGGGAACAAAATTATTAAATGTAGTTAAGATTTTAAAAGTAATACAGGTTGGGTTTTCATTGAATTGAAACTTCATCCATCCATTCTAATTCATTCTTGTACTGAGATAGAGCTCATCTTGCAGTTCAGGCTCACCTCAAACTCAGTCTTACTACCTCTGCTTTCCAGGTCTGCACCATCATACCTGCCTGTGACTATTTTTTTTAGTTCTTTTTCTCCCCATTTTATCTGTTTTTATTTTTGTAGTTCCAACCAGCATTTTTTGTCAAACTACTAGAATAACTTTCAGGTAACTGCTATGTGCTGCTTTAGTTGTACCTGTGCAATAGAATATTACATTTCCATTTGTAAATGTAGAATTGGGGCAAGGGAATCACTTAATCGGGGTCTCACTGTGTATTCCTGGCTGGCCTGGAACTCAGATCTGTCCACATCTGGAGAACTGGGATTAAAGCTTGTGCTACCATTATCCGACAGACATTTAATGTTGATGCGAATGGACTTTAGGTAGAGCTGATGAATGAGACAGGTAGGTTGTGTGAAAAATGTCTTATTCTGTAGGAAATCACAGAATATGCTCTTAACATTTCATCAACTTAACTAGAGGTATCCAAACCAAATTGTGTGCTTAAAGTAATTGTATGTTTCTTGGTGTTTGGCACCTTTTAATTTTAAAGAAAATGGCTAATTTGTTTGTTTTCTTCCAGATTTTTTCGTTATATCTGTGATTATTTTGTATGTTTTCATATTATTCATCATGTTGCATCCAGTTGCCTCTGTTGACCAGGTTCTTGAGGTAAGGCTTAGCATTTTGATTATTATTTGTGTTATTTGTGTCAAATGTTGCTATGAACTGGGGTAACAGTAGTAAGACATTGATAGTTACATTGTAGTAGTATGTGGAATGTAAAGCTAAATGATATTTGGATGTTTGGTAGTGAAGAAAGATTAAACTTTATATTCCCCAGTGTTTCTTCTTCCCCAAAAGATACTCTAAAAGAATGAGTTTATTGACCCTTCTTTCCCGTCTGTCTTCAGTGGTGCCTCTGCATGTAGCAGTTCCTGAGTATTTAGTTTGTGACTTTCATCCTGTTGGGAACTGTGTATCTTATACTTAAGTTCTCTTGATCTTTTTCTGTGGAAGAACCATATTGTTCAAATTATTATGACTTTGTAAGGAATATATATTTCAGAACAGGACTGCCTCAGCCTCTTTTTGAATCATCAAGATCTTTTGTCTGTTGGGGATATTTCTTTTAAAATTTTAGGTTTGGCTTGTCAGGAGCCAGGGAAAGCACTTTTGGAATTAGAGTTACACTGTGAGCAGTGTCCATTCTGTGATAATAATTAATGAGCCATTTAAAAAGGAAAGACTTGTTTGCTACGTGGTTTGAGGAGGTATCCTCTGTCGTGGTGGGTGATGCATGTTGGTAGGAATTTGGGGCAGTTGGTCATTGCTTGTAATAAGGAAACAGAGAGAGTCTCTGCATTGAACGCTTTGCTGTACTTCCAAAAGAAACTTCTGACCAAAGGTTGAGAGCAGCACTACCCAATGGGAAAAACAACAGTAGTGGTAGTGACTTCCCTGGCCATGGATTCTTGACCAAGTCTACAGTGAGGCCTGTGCTGTAGAGCAGGTCTGAAAGCTGGTTAAAACCTTTGTGCACTAGTACATACATCTTTGCTTGGCAGGGTTCTATAGTAGAATGCCAGGCCCACTGCTGAATTTTCCAGATCAGTTTCAGCTTGAGTTGTCTGTGTCCTGTAATTAAATGTGTTATGTCTTCAGCAGTTGAGTCTTTCCAGCTAGCTGTGGCGGGCAACCTAGAGCAATGACAGTAGTCTGTTGGTTAGAGGGGACTGTAGGTCTTCCCTGGCCAATAATTTTTAGGGAAATATCCCACACTTGACACTGAAATTTTCATATATTTTATGTCTTGTTGGGGAAGCATTGTTTATCCCTGCATGGGGTACTTCATCCAAACTCTTTTTTTTTTTTTAATTTTATATATATATATAGAGAGAGACTATTTTTATTTTGTATTTGAGTGTTTTATCTACATGTGTATAAGGTGCACCGCATGTATGCAGTGCCCACAGCAACCAGAAGAAGGAGTCAGATCAGCTGGAACTGGAGTTACAGACAGTTGTGAGCTGTCCTATGGGTGCTGGGACTGAAGCTGGGTCCTCTGCAAGGGCAGCAAGTGCTTTCTAACCACTGAGCCATCACTCCGGTCCCTGTAGATTATACTTTTTAAGTTATCTTACAAAGAGTATAGTTTCATAAGGCTTTTCTCTTATCTCACCCCTGCTCCCTCTCCCTCCCCATGGTCCCCCCCTGCTTAAACCACTCATATTCTTTCTACTTTCTCATTACATATGTTCCACTATCTCCATTCCACTTAAGGCCTCCTTTTTCCTCTTAAATGTTCTTTCTAGCTTCCTGACCCCACTAAAAATTTGAAGTTAGAATCCACATATAGGGGAGAACATTTAGTATTTGTTTTCTGGGCCCAGGTTGCTACACTTAGTATTTTCCAGTTTCATCCATCTTTCTGCAGATGACATAATATTTTTGTTTATATCTGAATAAATTTCATTTATGTTTGCAGCATATTTTCATCATCCATCACTTGATGACCATCTAGCCTGATTTCATTTCCTAGCTGTTGTAACTAGAACAGCTACGAATGTGGATATATATATATAGCTATATCCATGTAGTCCAGTAATTGTATTGTTGGGGTCATGGAATTCTATTTTTCAGCTTTTTAGAAACCACTGATTTTCGTGGGGGCTGCACCAGTACAAACTTCCTCCAGCAGTGGGTTAAGGGTGATTCTTTCCCCACATCCTCACCAGCACTTGTTATCATTCTTGATGGCATTCTTTCTGTCTAGGTGAGATGGAACATCAAAGCAGTTTCAATTTGTGTTTTCTGAGTGGCTAATATTTGCCATTTCTTTCTTTCTTTCTTTCTTTCTTTCTTTCTTTCTTTTTTTTTTTTTTTGATGTATTTATTTATTTTGTGTACGAGTGTTCTGTCTGCATGTACATCTACATGCCAAAAGAGGGCATCAGATCTCAGTACAGATGGTTGTGAGCCACCATGTGGTTGCTGGGAATTGGACTCAGAACCTCTGGAAGAGTAGGCAGTGCTCTTAACTGCTGAGCCATCTCTTCAATCCCTAACATACTTTGTTTTTTTTTTTTTTTAAATTTTATCTTATTTGCATTAGTGTGAGGGTGTCAGATAACCTAGAACTAGAGTTACAGACAATTGTCAGCTGCGATTTTGGTGCTGGGAATTAACCTGGGTCCTCTGGAAGATCAGCCAGTGCTCTTAACTGAACTATCTCTCCAAAACCCTCCCCCCAACCCTCAGGTAACTCTACTCAGTTCCCTCTTTTGTTTGTTTTTGGCTACTTTCTTTACAGCTCTTGAGTTCTTCTGTGTATTCTATATGCTAATCCTCTGTTGGAGGTGGCAAAGATTTTCTTCCATTCTGTAGACTACCTCTTCACTTGATTGACAGGGTAGTTGTTGTTGTATAGAAGCTTTTTAGTTGCATGAGATCCTATTTGTCTTCTGTTGGTCTTTTTTTCTGCCTGAGCAATCAGCATCATATTCACAAAGTCCTTTCCTGTGCCAGTATCTTAATGTGTGCTCTCCTTTTCTTGAAGAAGTTCAGAATTTTGGGTCTTAGCTGAGGGTCTTCATCCATTTGGAGAGATAAACTAGTTTCATTCTATATTTTGGTCTTCAGTTTTCTTACCATACTTTATTGAAAATGCTGTCTTTTTTCCAGCGTGTTCTCATCTTTGTCAAAAATTGAGATTCTGCAGTTGCCTAGACTCTTCTCTTCTCCAGGTTCTGTTCCATTCCATTCCATTGATCTTATGTCTGGGTTTTCTTGTTTTCCAGTACCCTGCTGCTTTTGTTACTGTGGCTCTGTAGCATATTGTGAAATCAATTGGTTATACCTCCAGCAGTATTGTTTTTGTTCAAGATTGCTTTGGTCATGTGGAGTCTTATGTGGGGGGGTCTCTGCAAACACCAGTGCCAGCAGTATTTGGATGGAATGTTCTGTAGGTGTCTTTTAAATCCATTCATCTTTGATACCATCTAATTCTCATTTTAATTTTTTTGTTCAGAAGACCTGCCAGTTAGTGAGAAGTCACCTGCTATTACTGCTCTAGGGTTAGCCTGTGACTTCACATGCAATAGTATTTATTTTCTGAAGTTGAGGGCAGCAACTTTCTTTGGCCATCTTTTATCACTTGTTTTAGCTTCAAGTCTTTTGTCAGATATTAGAACACTTCCTTGTTTGCTAGCTCCATTTGCTCAAAATAATAGTAGTGTCTGTCTTGTGGTGAAGTGTATTTCTTGGAGGCAGCAAATACAGGGTTCTTGCTTTTAATCCAGTCTACTACTGTGAGGTTATTAATATTCAGTCATCATTGAATTGTTGATTGCTGTCATTTTGTTGGTTTGGGGCAGTGTCTTTTTTTTTTCTTTTCCCCTTGTTTATTTTATCCTGTGGCCTTGTGGCCTTCTCTTCAGTCTGAAGAATTTCTTTAGTCTATTTTTATCTTAGAGAGTTTTTGTTTTTCTTTCAGTTATAACAGACAGCTTTGCTGGGTGTAGTATTCCGGTTGGCAGTTATCTTTCAGAACTTGGAATACATCATTCCAAGCCTTTTGGCTCTTAAAATTTCAGTTGAGTACCCTCCTGTTATCCTGATAAACCTGCCTTATATGTGACTTGGCATTTCTTTCTCTCTTGCTGCTTTCCATTTACTGTTTTAATTACACTACCGTCAAGGGCCTTCCTTTCTGATCTTGTCTGTTTGCTCCTAAATGCTCTTTGTGACTGGGTTGTCGTCTCTTCCTGATGTGAAGAAATCTTGTTAATGATTATTTTGAAAATGTTTTCTCTGCCTTTAAAATGGGATTTTTTTTTTTCTCCTTTGCTTACAGTAACAAATATTTGGTCTTTACAAAATGTCACATTTTTAACTCTATTAAAAATGATAACTTTATTATTTATCTTTGTGTTGGTTTGTTCTAGTTATTCCACTTTCTGTACTTTCCACTATAGTACTTTCTGTATTTCATTCATTCAATTGGCGAAACTTCACAGGGAGCTTGTTGACTTATTTCCATTTCCATCATTGCAGATTTGATTTTAGGTGCTGGGAACTGACTTGGGACCTTTGGGAGAACCGCACATGCTCTTGGCCTCTTGGTTATCTCTTCAGCCCCATGTTTTCATTTTTAAAATATTTATTTATTTTATGTGTATGTGTGTCTACACATATGTATGTGTACTGCTGCTTGTATGAATTTGTACTGCAGCCTTTCTTGTGCTCAATAAAGCCCGAAAGGATGCTGCTAATCCCCTGGATCTTATGTTATAGGCATTTGTGAGCTTGGGAACTGAACCCCGGTCCTCTGCAAGAGTAGTGAGTACTCTTACCCACTGAGCTGTCATCACTCTAGCCCCTTTAATATATTCTGTTGCCATAACAAAATACTCGAAGAAAGATAATTCTTAAAGAAAAGAGGGGTTTTGCTTGGTTGGTTTGCCATTTTGGCTTACAGTTCTGGAGCTGTGAGAGTACTGTGCCAACATCTGTTGACCTTGAAAACTGCCATTTTCCTTTCAAGGCCCAAAGGTAGAAGGGCAAGTTGCAAGTTGTATGAGAGAGATCACATAGTAAGAAGTATAGTGAGAGAGCCAAGGAAGCTCAGTTCACTTCTTTGTTTTCTCGAGACAGGTTTCTCTGTGTAACAGTCCTAATTGTCCAGGACCAGCCTTGCTTCCAACTCACACCTGCCCTGCCCCAGGATTAAAGGCATATGTCACTGTGCCTACTGCAGTTCACATTTGAACAACCTGCTCTTGGTATAACTAAACTACCTTAGCAGAAAGTACATTAATCCTTCCTTGAAGGTGAAATCCCTATGAACTAATTGCTCATGAATACCCATTGCCTGTTAACATTTCACATTTCCTTGTAAGTTTGTAGGGGTGACAAACGTATCTAAATCATAGAAAAGGTTATCTTGAATCTTTCATAAAAATGCATTATTAATCATTGAAGAGCAGTGTTTTATTGATAGATTTTATTGATATAGTTAAGATTTAGCTAATTTTAAAAACTTACTCTTCTCACTTCATATACTTGCCGCCTAGCCCTTCTAATCTACTGAAACTGCCCTGACCAAGGTCATTAACCACCAGTAAACATCCACTGGGCATATGCCTTTGAAGTTTTTCCTTTTGCCTTTCTTTGGTCTCTGACTTACTGAACATCGTGACCAGGTTAGATTGTTTTCTTTGTACTCTTCTGGCATCTTGTGATTCTCATTCTCCACTATGGTTCTTTTCTCTTCCACCCATCTTTAAGCATTAGTTCCTCACCTTTCTAGTCAGGTTTCTCCTTTCCCTCAATTCTCAGATAATCTTTCTTGTAGTCATGGTGTGCCTGTAGTTGGTATTAATAAGTGATAGACTCTTGCATTTGTATCCGAGTTTAGCTGTCACTGCTGAGATATATAGACCTGAGTACATGGTGACAAATTCCCCAGATTGAGCATTTTAAAAAACTTAACTTTGGGGCTGAAGAGCTCAGAAGGTAAAAATGCTTGTTGGACCCAAGTTCTAATCCTCAGAACCCATGGAAAAAGCTAGATATGGTGTGTGTGCTTCTAGTCCCAGCGCCGGGGCCATAAAGTAGAGAGTGATAAAACAGGAAAGTGTCATCTCCATTGGCCTCCATGTGTGCGCATAAGCGTGCACGTGCACCATACATGCACATAATATTCCAAGCTAAGGCTTGAAACTAAGTTCGTGTGTTTTGTGGATTCTTTGTTTTTGCTGGTAAGCTTCCTCACTCTCAGAATTCTGTGTTTGGGTTCAGTGGCCCCAGTCTGGTTTGGCTTTCTGCCATCTCTTGCAGACTCCTCATTGCAAACCTTACTGGAGCAGTGCTGTGTTAATGTGACATACCTCAGGCCAGCTCACTCCTTAGACTTTATGTGTCTTAGGTACTCGGTGATAAATATTTGCTAACTAAAAAGGATGTTTTAGATCACAGAGCAGTCAGATTTCAGTTGGATATGGTTTCATGTGGGTGTAGTCCCAGGCTTACGAAGGGGGAAGTAAGCTTGACCAGTGTTAAATTAGTATCCACTTCAATTTTTAAAAAGCCTTATTGTTAATTATGTATATGTTAGAGGGATGTGCATGCTGAGTGCAGTGCCTGCAGAGGCCGTATAAGAGCACTGAATCCCCCGGAGCTGCAGTTAACAGGTTGTGAGCTGCCAGGTTTGGATGCAAAGTTCCAGTTTGGAACTGAACTTAAGGCCCCTGGAAGAGAAGCATATGCTCCTAACCACTGAGCCATTTCTCTGGCCTCTGACTCATTTTTGAAAGATAGATTTTTATTTGTTAGACATTTGTAATACTGTAGATTAGAGCATGGACTTTTGAATGTCTTCAAGATTTAATGCTGAGTTGTCATTTTTAGTATTAGTGTTTTATTGTGTGAAAAGATGCATGTTTGTGACATTATTGAAAGTTAAATGGATAAAGTGATACTTGGTACATAATAGTATTTTAGTAAACTCAGATTTTTTTTTTAAGACAGCATCTCAGATGTCCCAGTCTGGCTTTGAACCTACTATGTAGCTGAGGATTGCCTAAACTCATGATCTTCCTGTATCTGCATTTCTAGTACTGGGATTATACTCATGTGCTACTGTGCCTGGCTTCAGATACTATGGTGTAATACTGTAATATCAATTAAGATGACAACTTTAAAATTTTGTGTCTTCTAGATTATGTGTGTACCATACCAGTGGCGAATATATATGCTTATCATTGTTGTTATCAATGCCTTCGTGTCTATCACAGTGGAGGTAAGCATTCAGCCTTGGGATTCTTGGGTGATCAGTGGTGGTGGTGGTGGTGGTGGTAGGAGGAACAGGTAATACTGTTATTATACAGAAGCCCCAACTCTTGTTTCATTTTAGGCAGATTCATTTAGCTTCCTAATCTGACTTTTTTGTAGTTATATCATGAGATTTGATGGAGTTGCATTCATGAAGATAGTGAGATGGCAAAAAATGAGTGGTGAATAGAAAAGAGAAGTGGGTATCCAGGCAGTTCACAGAACCATCTGTGTTCCCTGATAGTGTACCACTTAGGAAGAAAATAGCCTTTCATTGTCTTCAGGCCAATTTCTCTAATGGGATATTAAGTTCTCAGTGATGCTCTTTATACCAGTGTAAGAAACAGGTAAAGCAGATAAAATTAGTATGTTCAAAGGTTTTTATAGTGGAGGCTTTTGAAAGTATGTGTATGTATATTTCAGTGATAATTTTAGATTGAGAAATTATGCAGAAATTCAGCAGTCCCAAAGGAAAAGTGGCTAGGATTTTAAATGAGATATGATGGGAGCATGGATGTTTGTAGTTGATTTTGTATAAGTAGATGTTTGTATAAGTTGTTCAGAGACTGTATTTTCTATTCAAGAAAGCTCAACTAAGACTATTTATCAGAAGCATTCTTTTACCTAACAGTGCAAGCTCATCTTTTTAAATTTTTTCTTGTTATCTGAAATATTATTTGTATTGGATGCAGATGAAATGTTTGCATACATACATATGTGGAATTAATAATAGATATTAAGTGAAAAAAAACTTAAGAAAAAGGCTATGAATCATCAACATTGTTAATTTAGGGGAACACTGGGGATCAGAACCTGATTTGTAGAAAGCTTAGTCTTGTTTAAATCAAGAATTTTATGATTTATATTTATTAGAAGAGTTCTATCATTTCTTTATACTTTTGTATTATTTACTGAGATTTGCCATTTGAAAAGCAAATCACGTTATTAATGATGCAGCATTGTGTGAATGTTATCAGATGCGTGTGTTAAAAAGGAATGACCTGTTTAACTCTTAACTCACTGGAATATCTCTCAGAGCTTCTTCCTTGACACGGTCCTTTGGAAGGTTGTGTTCAATCGAGACAAACAAGGAGAGTGTCGTTTCACCACCACACAGCCACCACAGGTTGGAAATGAGCAGTTACTGTCAATTCTTCACGTACATCTCAGTTTTTCCACTATGTACTTAGATCTGTTACTGTGTGTGTGCAGCTTTAGCCATTTTTTTTGTATCTGGTTCCCCCCTTCCACAGCTCCCCCCCCCCCTTAAAATAAGTCCTAGAAAACTCATGATAGGCACTTAATATAGGCATTTTAGGAATTTGGGAATTTCATAAGTCTTTTCTATTCCAGTCCTACCTTGTGTGTTTGTGCATGCATGTATTGGTTTGTCTTATCCTCAAAGGTGAGGGTTAATTCTTTTTATCTTTTTGTTTTGTTCTTTTGGGGGGGGGGTGTTTTTTGGTTTCTTGAGACAGGGTTTCTCTGCATAGCCCTGGCTATCCTGAAAGTCACTTTGTAGACCAGGTTGGCCTTGAACTCACAGAGATCCACCTGCCTCTGTTTCCCAAGTGCTGGAAAATTAAAGGTGTGTGCCACCACCTTCTAGCTGAGAGTTAATTCTTTCTTTTCTGCCTGCTTTATATTTTATGTGTTTGATTTTCACTGGAACCATTACATTAGTTATGTAAACAAGTTTTGAATCAAGTTTTCTTAGATCAGAATCAAGAGACATTTTGAAGATTTCTGATTTTTATTTTTTGCTATACATTAATTTAAAGTGGCTTTTGGCTTTCCCTGACCGATAATTCAGAAAATTATTGGTTTATTTCTACATAAGCAGTGGTGAGGGCTTTTAAAGGCTGTGAAATAGCCTGTGGCTTATCAGACAATGCAAGGTTCTTCTGGCAAAATGAAAGGAAAACCAATGAGTAAATCCGTTTCATGGTGTGAGGATGTTACAGTAGATATCTTGATAGAATGTGCAGATTAGACTTGGTCTGTAAACTGTTGTCAGTCAAGCAGACCTCTGTAAAAAATTTTAACATTTAATATCTCACCTTGCCAGGAGTTGTAGCACAAAATCCCAGCATGTGAGAGATGGAGGTAGAAGGACCAAATCATAGAGAATTCGAGGAGAGATTGTACTAGCATAGACGACTCCGTTCCAAAACTTGTTGCTTACTCACTGTTGTTTATAAAGTAGGTTATGTGCCTTGCTTACATGTGTCAAGGCTTTCAACCATCCTTATATGATGTGCTGAAGAAGATTGTCTGGCACTTCTTAGATCATTAACTCAATCTCATCCACGTTTTACCTAAGTGCTAACTCCTGAACTTTGTGTTGGTAATAGAGCAGGGCTGAGATCCAGGCTTGACCAGGCTTGCTGTGTAAGATGTATAATGCCATTTTGTGCTCTGTGCTCTATGGTGGAATAACAGCAGAAAGCGGTGACAGCTTGAGCTTGAAGTCAATTCTCGTTTCTTTTTCCTCAAAGCGTAGCATGATGCCCGTCTGTCACTTGTTAGTATTGGGCAAGACCAGAAAGAACTCTGGTGCTCAGGTTATTTTAGCTGAGCCCCCTTTGTGCTAGTGCTTTTCTTTTTGTGACTTTACTACATTATTTCAGAAGGTCACAGGGGCTCAGCTGATCTTTACCATGTGACTCATACTGAGTTTTACCTTCTCCAAAGAGATCTCTAACTGTTGTCTAAATAGGAAGTGCAGGCAAGTTCTAAAGCACACTTTATTTCCTTATTTAGTCAAATGGGTCTTTTAAGTCCCCTATAAAATATTTGAAGTAGAAATCCCCTACCTTTCTCTCCCTCCTTTTTCCTTCCTCTTTCCCTCCTCCCTTTCCCCCAGAGACAGGATTTCTCTGAGTAACAGCTCAGGCTGTCATGGAACTCATTCTGTAGACCAGGCTGGCTTCCATCTCAGAGATCTGTCTGCCTTTGTCTCCTAAATGCTCGAATTAAAGGCATGTGCCACTGCACTTAGCCCAAATTTCAACCACAATAAAATGGCAGTATACACACACACACACAAATACATACATATATGTATATTCTTTTCTAAAAAAAATTTCTATGTAATTTCAGTTCTTAATTTTTAAAAGTTTTTATTTTACATGACATTCTATTTCTAAAAATGTTTATGGGAGGGAATGATGATATGGGACAGTCCATGGCACGTAGGCTTGGGATGTCCCACAAATTGATCCATTGTGGGAACCACTGTGTAGACAAGAATTTTGGCCTTAGTTCTGTGGTTTTAAGAAAGCTTTTTTTTTTTTTTTTGGAGCTTTTACTTTTAGTGCACAAAGATTAATTTTCTTCTTGCGATAGATATTTCTGTGTGTAATGCTTTGCGTCTCATTCAGTGGCAACTCTGTCCAGCTTCCCTTCTCTCCTCCTCCCTCAGCAAGGAACATCTCATCTGGCAGTGTCTATAAGTAATTTTGGATATCAGAAATAAGGGAGAGAGGGTGTTATTGACATATAGAATGTATAGAGCCGCTGGAGCTGCCAAATAAATGTCCTGTGGTACAAAGACAGCAGCCCCTGCCAAAAAAGAATTTTCCAGCCCAAAGTATTACCCATCCTGAAGTAGAACCCCAGTTGGAGGCAAGAAGGAAGGAAAGATGGCTAGTGGAGCTTGACTCCAGGCCACATGTGGTGCTACGATTCTGCCACGGTCCTTACTCTGCACTGCACAGCCAGTGGTCCACCACAGAATGTCAAAAGACATTCAGTTATTCAGTTCAGTTATTCAGTTCAGTTATTATGCCATTCATGATTAGCTTTAATTATATTGCTTGCCTGAGTTTCCACATGTATAGAACAGTGAATTTAGAGCAGAGAGACAGAGACGGGGTGGGGAGTAATATGTATGTGTGTCTTAAATCCCATTGCTCTTGGCCCTCTGCCTGTTATACATCACCTCTCCCCTCAAAGGACTCATCTGTACAGACAAGTGTGGTGTGTTTCTCTGTGATGCTTTAGCAGTGCTATTATAAATGAAGCTTTCATATTTAGGAACAATGATCTTTTCCACAATTGGTTTGGAGAATTGAAGTTCTAGGGAGGGAGTAAACGCAACAGTGTAGTATCACTTCAGATGACTGTTGTGCTGCAGCTACACTGGAAAGGAGACTGCTGGCTGTTGCTTCAGTCACCTGAGGGTCTTGTGTGTGGTGACTGCTGGGTTCTGATGCAGGATACTTTGTGGATTCTTTTTTAAAGAGGATGAATGATATAGCATAGCTCCTATGTCTACCCCCACCCACTCCTAGCTTTGTGGGTTTTTTTTTTTTCCTCACTGTGTAGCACTGGCTGACTTTGAACTCACTATGTAGACCAGGCTAGCCTCAAATTTGTGAACATCTTGCTTCTGCCTCCTGAGTACCAGTATTACATCATCATGCACATCTCAAAACTTTCAATGTGATATAATAGAAGTTACTGGATGAATAATCTTCAAATCCGTTATTTTTTTCCTAGAATGTAATACAGCTTATCTGTGACTACAAATTTTACCTTTAAAAATCCTTGGGAGCAATGCAGCTCAATGCTTTATGTACACACTGAAGAAGAGGGGCAGAGTTACTCATGGTTGATGTGAGAGAAGCCTCTTGGAGGAATTACAGTTTTTAGAGCTTTATTCAGTCAGTCCTTTCCTTGGGTACTCCTTGCCTTAACTGATGGATGGATCGATCGATTGAGACAGAGGTTTCACTTTATAGCTTAAAGTGGCCCAAATCCTGCCTTGGCCACCCCAGAGGTAGGATTACAGGTATTACACATGCCTGATTCCTGTTGGCCAGTTAAGAATCGTATTCAACATATACATTATAACACATTTGCCTTTTTTGACTGTAGGTACTTTGTCCATATCAGAATACTTACCCCTCTGCTGTACTTCCCTTTTGTGTGATTGCTTCTATAGAGGTTAGAGCCTAGTGTGGGCTGGGTCAGTATTGAGTGGCAAAAACGATCTGGAATTTAAATTTTACTTCGGAGAAACAATAGCCAAAATAATTTACAGGCTGTTTCATGGGTTAAATATAGTTGTTTAGATCTATTTCAAACTTGACTTGAAACTTTCTATTGAGTTTGTTTTTCTCCAAGACTTTGCCTTCCCATTCTCCAAAGATTATTTATCTAAGGCCATATTCATCAGTAACATCGTGATTGATTACAGCAGTTTCAGTTTATTTTTATTTTGTGTATTAGTGTTTTGTTTGCATGTATATCTGCACCATGTATGTGCAGTACCTGTAGAGGCTAGAAAGAAAGCATTGGATTTCCTGGAACTAGAGTTACAGATGGTTTTGAGCTGCCATGTGAGTGCTGGGAATTGAACCTAGGTCTTCTGAAAGAGAACTAGATGCTCTTAATCACTGAGCCATCTCTCCAGCCCAGCACTTGCTTGTGTATTTACTGTGTATTTCCTTCCCATTATGGAGTACTAAGGGAAACTTACTAAGATAAAAGCAGTTTTATATGAGTGATGGTTTGCTGTTACTTTTTTGTTTTGTTTTTAAACAGAGTTTTACCGTGTAACTGTGTGAGTTGGTTTTTATTGTTGTGGTAAAGACTATGGCCAGAAGTAACTTGGCTGGGGGGCTTATTTGGCACACAGGTTACAGTCTATCATTAGGGGGAAGCCAAGGCAGGAATTGAAGTAGAGGCCAAGGAGGAACATTGCTTACTTACTGCCTTGTTCCTCATAGATTACTCAGCTTGCTTTTTTTAGACAACTCAGGACTGCCTCCCAAGTATGGTACCACCCCCATTGGGCTGGTCCTTCCCATATCAATCATTAATTAAGAAAATGCTCCCACAGACTTACCTACAGGCCAGTCCAGTGGAGACATTTTTCTCAGCTGAGGTTTCCTCTTCCTGTATGACTCTGACCTGCGTCATCTTGACAGAAAACTAACCAGCACAGCACCCAAACTGGTGCGGGTATGTGCCACCATGTCTGGCCAACGATGTGGTTTTAAGTGATTTAGGATTCCATTTTTTCATGTGACAGTGAGGTCCTGTCACCTCATGTTCCTGACAGTGAGATCACTTCATAGCATTAACTTTGTTTTTTTGAAAGCAATATTAGCAGTAACAGTGATCTCTGTCACTACCTTCTTGTAAAAGTGACGGGTGGGTATCAATAGAAAAATAATTTGGGATAGAATAAAAGGATTTCCAACTAAAAGAATAGAGTAGGTGTTTTCTGTTTGAGAGAGCTACTTAAAGAGTATATCATTACACAATAAGATATGTGGACAAAACTAAAGGAACTGGGGGAAAATATCCTCTTTAAAAACAGTTTGTTCCTAAATTGAAAGCTGACTTTTTGCATGGATTTTTTTTTTTTTTTTTTTTTTTTTTTTTTAGTTAGTTTTTATATTCAGAAGTTATTTTGTATTGTTCTGTGCACAATGCATGCTTTAACCAACAAGCCCTTACTCGGTGTTTTTCCTTTCCTAGGAGTCAGTGGATCGATGGGGAAAATGCTGCTTGTCCTGGGCCCTAAGCTGTAGAAAGAAGACACCGAAAGCAAAGTACATGTACCTGGCTCAGGAGCTCTTGTTTGATCCTGAATGGCCGCCTAAGCCTCAGACAACGACGGAAGCCAAAACTGTAGTAAAGGAGAATGGATCATGTCAGATCAGCACCATAGCATAGCCAAGACTGTCTCTGCTGTGCTAGTGACAGTATTCAGAAGTATGACCCTGGGTGTCAGAATGGCACTGTTCAGTTTATATCCCTCTCATAATACAATAGTCAATTAAAAAAAAACAAAACAGTAAATGTCATTTGCCTCACAGTTAGTTATTAACTATAAATCTGGCTTATATGTTCATGCAGTAACCTAAGTATGATATATACTTTATATTGGGTATAAGAGGGCTATGTTTGGGGTTTTAGATTTTAGCTTTTAACATTTGTTTTCCTCTTTAAATTTGATTTTCACAAACTTCCTTATTCAAAAGTTCTTTTACATGTAGGCCCTAAATTTGTGATTGCTAAAATAATATAGTTGTTAATTATAATTAGCCTTCAGTGAAAATAGGTTGAAAGCCTATTTTGATCCAGTGTTTCTCCCAAAGAATTCTGTTAAATATACACCAGTTTCCTTTTATGATCTGGAGTTAGGAGTGAGTTTATGTGTTGTTATTATTGTTAATAGAGCAACTCAGGTAATTTTCATTTCTGCTTTTATATTCTCTGTGTAGCCTGCCTGGGTGTCATTTCCTAGCCAGCAAGGTGCTCCACTGCTGTCTTGACGTCCTTCATAGCATTCCCGGGATCCCATGCTGGGTCTGCAGCCAGCAATCTAGTTAGGGGAAGAATTCTTTAACTAGAAAGGTTTTTTCGTGAGCCATGCATGGTGGTGCAGGCCTATATTTCTCCACAGGAGGCTGAGACAGGAGGATTGTTCTTAGTCTAAGGATAGCCTAGAATAGATGGTAAAACCCTGTCTTAGAATACATGTGTGCAGAAAGATTGAGGTTGATTATTTTTCTTGGCAGTAAAACTCATTCATATTTCTTCAAACCTATTATTTTTCTTTGAAGACTTCTATCATTTTAAATGGTTTCATTATATTTCTCTTTTTAACTTAAATGAGTGGGACAGTGCTATTTTTGTTTTTGTTTTGTTTTGAGTTAGACCTTAACGCTGGTGTAAAGACCTTAACGCTCTTTGGTTAGTGAGGCTAAAAGGATAGTGAATATTGATGAATTTGAATGACTTTCAAAGTGATGTAAACTTGTAGAGCTTGTTTAATGCCATTAGGTGGCACCAGAGGTCATCACATACCTATTTTGTTACAAGCGAGCTTGAGAAAATAAAGAGTATACATTTATTGAGCCAAAAGAAATGTAGAAAGCATTTTTCACATTTGTGTTTTATCTGACTAATGTTCAGTTCTCAAGGAACTTGAGAAGGTTCTCAAAGCCTTCCTAGGTAGGACCTGGCAGTTTGGCAGTGCCCAGCTTAGGAAACTGGCATTGCTATAAGATGGACCCTAATTTAGCAAAACAATGTGACATTATTCTATGTTCTTAACTAACCACATGTGTGTGCTTTTTACTGCTAGTTGATCATTACTTTCCTTGTACATACTTAACTAGTGTACCAAATGTTACCCATATTTGTAGAACCATTTCTCTCTCTCTCTTTTTTTTTTTTTTTTTTTTTTTTTTTATGTTGCAAAGACCTGAATGATGTTTGATAATTGTAGAAAAAGTAAATTATTCTCAGGATCACTGTTACTGCTATTGCCACTAGTGATTCTTATAAAATACATAACTGAATTTTTCCAACAAAATGTATATTACTATATGTTAGATAATAAGAACAATTGTCCCATGAATGATTCTATGAAGCTATGCATCTTAGACCTCTTGAGCTGTGAATTAGCACTATTTTCTATAGTTATTCTGTTTTATACTTTCCATGTTCATTTCAAATAATGCTCATGTTATTCTTAAATGATTTTCTGAATTGTTAGGTCTTATTCTTTAGTTTAAATACTGAAGCATATAATTAATTGCTAACTACAGCTTAGAAACCCAGTATCAGTTTATATAACATCTTTTAAGAGCATGATCGTAAAGGCTATTTTTGACACATAATTTTGACATTCATAGTTGATAAGGGATATCTCATCTGTCCATACTGTTTTCAGAGGAACAAGGTTTTATGTAGGTGACAGAAAGCATTTGTAGGAAGTTAGATTTGAACATAGACAGGGTAGGTAATTCCAGTTGAGAATGTTGTTTGAAGAATGTTTGTAAATCTAGACATGGGTCCTGCTTAGTGCCATAGGTAGACTGAGTCTTCTGTAGGTCATTACATAGTAAGTTTGGTTCTGAATTTTACATTAAATTATTTGAGTATATATAGCCCTAAATTTTAAAATCTGTACATATATTATTTTGATGTATTAAGATTGATAATATTGCTGATTTAAATTTTATTTATGCACATACTTAAGGACAGAAATGTCCGGGAAAGTAATTGTTAAATAATGATATGTAACTTTTTAACTTTTTAAATAAATAACAAGATTTTTTTAATGTGGGTCTCCCTCAGGGTTGTTTCAAGTTGTTTGTTTTCCTCCCTCAAATATAAATAAATGGTGGTAACTATGTTTCCTATCTTCTAGCACCAACTGCTGTACAGCAGTGCTGCAAATAGTGCTTGGGTGAGAGTGGTGAAACCAACAGCAAACCAGTACTTTTTAAGTTTTATAAGCCTGAGATTCGAAAGCTCCCAAACTGCACCTTCATTTAAGCAAGCCTATTATTGTTTTTATACTATTTATTTTGTTTCCCATGTTGATGAAAGTGCTGTAGTCTCAAAGGCATGGTAAATAATGTGTCATTCATGTGTTATCTGTTCCAAAAGCAGCAAAAGCTCATATCCAGTGAAGAACAACTTCAAACTTTAGAGAATATCTGTTCTCTTATGCATGCAGTTTTGATGTATCGAAGAAAAGGGTTTTGTATATTTTTGGTGGGAGGCTACTGGGAACTTTTAACAAGATAGGGTATTAACTTTTGTACAGTCTTGGCATTTACACATATTTTTAATGTATTACAATTTGGTAATTATGTGCACATGAAATTAATAAAAGTTACTTCCTGTTATGATTTGTGAATTCCCTAAGGCAGTGAATTTTTTAAGTAACTTTATATATCAGAAATGATACATCTTTATATTTTTAAGATTGTATTGCTGCTCAAGAATGGTACCCTGTTGTCAAAAAGGTAGATATTCATAATTGTACATTCAGCATTGTAAATAACCTTATAAAATAATCTTTTTTGATTGAAGCTATTCAAAATAAAAAAATTTTGATGAAGTAAATGATCTTTCTATAATTTTTCCTGGATTTTGACACACTTGTTTGATTTTTAGTTATATAAATACAGCTCTCTCTGGCCAGTTTCTCCGCAGTGTTTCCAATTTCCTGGTTTCCTTCCTTCCGACTTGGAATTTCAGTACGGTGTATGACCGTTGGGCCTGTAACTCCCTTACAGAAAGAAGTTCTAGCAGTTATATGTCATGTAGAGCCACGTGGTAGGCATCAGGGATGGGAGGGAAATGCTGAAATGCTAGAGACATAACCTCTAGTTGCAGAATCAGTCAACAGGCGGTATCAGTGTAGTGGTAACCATGAGTACCAAAGGATCCCTTGAGGAAAGACAAGGATGGGAGGACTAGATAAATTCCAAAGGAGCAACTAGATGTTGGTTGGCCTGTATTGCCTGGGTGGGTGGTGGAGTGAAGACAGCTTGGCTATTTAGTTTGATGGACTGGTTGGGGGAAGGGATGATTGGTGCAGAGTGCAAACAGGATGGCAGTTTAAGGCTTTAGAGTTGCTTCTTGGTAAGGGCTAGAGCCTATCAGACCTTGTTTTTGACCTGAGGTTCAGAACTGAGTACATGGTAGACAGCACTTTCCAGGCTTGATTACGCCTGGCTGTAATCAAAAATTGATGGCATCTGAAGTTAGAAATGGAGGGCTTGCCCAGCAACTACAAAGCCCTGGACTCAATCTCCAGCGCAGAAAAAAAGTATCTTAAGAAAAAGCTTGGTAGCAACCTGTAATTGATTCAGGCTCCTAGGGCAGAGGGCAGCCCATTCTGAATGGGCTTATGAAGACCCTGTCTCAAAAAGGCGGGGGGGGGGGGTCCTTCAAGAAGTAGGTCGCAACCACTCCATTCTGTAATCTCAGGTGAGTGGTGTGTGTATTGGGTGCCCTGGAGCTTAGCAATATATGGCTGGCCGGCAACCTCCAGGCATCCCTTTGTTTGCCAGGCCTAGCTTCCCTTGTCAGTTCTAAGGATTTTAAAGTCTTCAGGCTTGCAAGGCAAGCATTTTGCTGACTGAGTCAAATGTCACTTTGTATTAGAAATGGAAATTAGTGATCGAAGCATGTTTAAAATAACTGCCTCTGGCTGGGTGTAGTAGCACACCTGTGATCCCAGCAAGGCAGGCAGTGGATCTCTGAGTTCAAGACCAGCCTGGTCTACAAAGGACAGCCAAGCCCACACAGAGAAATCCTGTCTAAAAAAAAAAACCACTAATGTAGGTACAAACAAAGGAATTTGTGTGTCCCCTGGAGATTTGAATGCTAAGGAATAGAGCATTAGAGCATTTAAAGGAATTGGGTAGTGTTCTGCCTTGGAGGAATTTACTTGATAACACCTATGACATGACAGTCAGTTACTAGAATTTATAAACGTCTACATTATAGTTGCATATAGGAAAATGAGCACAGCATCATGGTGTATTCTTTTGTGATTCCGAAAATTCAGCACACTTACAGGCAGAAGTTCATAAAATTGAAGCTAGCTTGGGAGAGAAAAGTAGACATTTTAAAAGAGGAACCCATGTTTCTTGAAAGCTGAAGAACAGGTGGCCCTTTCTTGTAAGACTACTTGTCGTTATTAAGCAAATGCAAAATTAAAACATCTCAACCTGTTGAGACAATAGGTTGGATTGCTATGTTTTTGCTCTCTTCCTCAGACTGGGCCTAAGCTGTGCCAGGGAGGGGTGGGCATTCATGGAAACAACCTGAATGACAAAGATTGGAAGAATGCCAAGCATGTGCCAGAGATGTGAAGTGCGGGAGCTCTTGCGTTGGCACTGTCAGGACAACCACTGGTAGGCAGTTTGACATTAAGCTGCAAACTGCACATGAACTCTTGAGCAATGCCATTAGTGAACATGCTTGACAATGGCTAGACTAACTAACCACGGGGGCGGGGGGGGGGGGGGGGTTTGCTAGCCTTACTTAAAAAGTAAAATGTTGGGAAAAGGAGACGGATGGATGGACAGGTAAAGACACCTCCAGGACTGATGGTATGAGTTAAGTGCTTGGAATCCACATGGTGGAAAGTGAGAACCGATTGCCTGTTTTCTGAGGCCCCCAAGTGGGGCTGGGGCACTTGTACACCCGTATACTCCCAAGTAATTTTTTTTTTTTTTTTAAAGGGAATGAGAATTGGTGCAAAGTAGCTTGCCCTTCCCCCTAAAAAATGTGGCTGTCGGTGTAGCTGCTGCAATGAGTCTTAGCATGCCATTTATGGAAGACCTTCTACCATCCAGCTTGGACCACAGGACTCACACAGGGCCGCACAGTTTGAGAGCTCTTGTCATTAAAACCTAGAATGTGACCTCTTGAGATAGTCTTTTTCCTTGACTTTTTTTTTCTTTTTTTCCTGGTATGGTCTTTATCCTCAGGATGCAGGAATACTCCCACTTCCTCAGTGAAGTGCCGAGTCATAAGCAGAGCTGTAAAGCCTTTCAGTCAGTCCAGGCTGCAGGACCAGCTTCAGGTAAGGCCAAATACACTTAAATTAGTGTATGCAATTAGAGGGGTCAGTCTGCACGGGAGCAAAGAGAGACCTGGTACTAGAAGAAACAGTACAAATTTTTACTTGGGAAACGTTGTTTGGGTAAACTAGTAGTGTGTGTATGTTTGACAGATAATGCCAAGAGTAGTTTTAGTAAGCAGTTTGGCTTATAAGCAAACGGTGGCTCGATATTTAAATGTGTGAGTCGTAAAGACCACACTCGGTACGTGCAGTGGAGCGCTCAGCCCATTGCCTTCCAGTTACTGTCCCAGGGCAAAGCGCAGAGAAGCATGGCATAAAACCACGAGCCTTATCACCTGCTCCACCGAGCGGTTTCAGCAGGGTGGGATTGTGAGGTGCTGACACTTTGAAAGTAGGGGTCTAAGAAAATGATTTGAGTGGAAGCGGCCCTTACTGTTCCCTCGTTGGGGTAGAGCTTCGCTGCTTAAGTTTAATTAAAGTCAGTGGCACAGTCAGTCTCATGGGTACTGCTTTGTGATGACTGAATGGGACAAGTTCTTTAAATGTTTTTAGGCAGCTTGAATATGCCCAAATGTCAATGCTCTAAACTGAGGGCTGGGGCGATGGCTCAGGGGGTAAGGTCGTGTACTCAGCAAGTCTGATGTAGACTCTCCAGCACCCATGAACAGAACAGAAAAGTAATTTGGTTTTTTGTTTGTTTGTTTGTTTGTTTTGTTTTGTCTTTTTAATAGGCCCTTGTCAGTGAGTGAGAGAGCTAGGCAAAGAGCAGTGCTTTGCAGCAGGTGCCCAGCTCCAAGATCTGGCTGAGCCAGCCGCCTTCCGGACATGCTGAGGAGCGCCCTGCTGTGCGCCGCGCTCGCGCTCGCGCTCGCGCTCGTGCGAGCCCAGCCCTTTCCCTGCCCCGGAACCTGCAAGTGCGTGGTCCGCGATGCCGCGCAGTGCTCCGGCGGCAGCGTGGCTCACCTCGCCGAACTGGGTCTGCCCACGAACCTCACACACATCCTGCTCTTCCGAATGGACCGGGGCGTACTGCGGAACCACAGCTTCAGTGGCATGACGGTGCTGCAGCGCCTGATGCTCTCAGACAGCTACGTTTCCGCCATCGACCCAGGCACCTTCAATGACCTGATAAACCTAAAAACCCTCAGGCTGACGCGCAACAGAATCTCTCATCTTCCACGTGCGATCCTGGATAAGATGGTGCTCCTGGAACAGCTGTTCTTGGATCACAATGCACTAAGGGACCTTGACCAAAACCTGTTTCAGAAACTGCTTAACCTGCAGGAGCTCTGTCTGAACCAGAACCAGCTCTCCTTCCTTCCCGCTAACCTTTTCTCCAGCCTGGGGAAGCTGAAGGTGTTGGATTTATCGCGGAACAACCTGACCCACCTGCCCAAGGGATTGCTGGGGGCACAAGTTAAGCTTGAGAAACTGCTGCTCTACTCAAACCAGCTCGCTTCTGTGGATTCGGGGCTGCTGGGCAGCCTCGGCGCCCTGACAGAGCTGCGGCTGGAGCAGAATCAGCTCCGCTCCATCGCCCCCGGCGCCTTCGACCGCCTCGGAAACCTGAGCACCCTGACTCTGTCGGGAAACCGCCTGGGGTCTCTGCCGCCCGCGCTCTTCCTGCACGCGAGCAGCGTGACCCGGCTGACCCTGTTCGAAAACCCCCTGGAGGAGCTCCCGGAGGTGCTGTTCGGGGAGATGGCCGGCCTCCGCGAGCTGTGGCTGAACGGCACGCAGCTGCGCACGCTGCCCGCCGCCGTCTTCCGCAACCTGAGCGGCCTGCAGACGCTGGCGGTGACGGGCAACCCGCGCCTGGGCGCGCTCCCGCGCGGCGCGTTCCGCGGGCTGCCGGAGCTGCGCGCGCTCGCGCTGCACGCCAACGCCCTGGCGGAGCTCCCGGAGGACGCGCTGCGCGACCTCGGCCGCCTGCGCCAGGTGTCGCTGCGCCACAACCGGCTGCGGGCCCTGCCCCGGGCGCTCTTCCGCAACCTCAGCAGCCTCGAGACCGTGCGGCTCGAGCACAACCAGCTGGAGACGCTGCCGGGGGACGTGTTCGCGGCCCTGCCCC